GTCCAAGGGAGACCCCCAAGGGGTCCTGCATGCCCACTGTCGACTTTGTTTTGCCAGTTGCTCAGCACAGTGTGATTGGCAGACATCATGCCGGACCTGCAGCATGTACAGCAATTACACAGTACAGTGCGCTCACAGAGAGCTCTGTACTGCGTGTCACAGCTCCCCATTCTTCTGCCAGCATGGCCGCACATAAACAAAGCTTTGTTAATGTGCGGCCACGCCAACAGAGATATTGTATACTTACCTCGGTCGCGGCAAACCACTGCCCGACCTCCTTCCGTTCCGGTGCCCAGCGAGTACGACGTTCCTAGAGACGCCGACCGCTGCGGTTCCGGTTTTAATAGGAAACTTAACTTCGCCCACATCAAAGATGGTGCCAACGTGCGTGCGACGTCACGTCATAGACGCGCACGTGCGTTTTGGTGTCAGAGGCCAGAGACAACCAATTACAGTCTTAAGAGGGTTATTTAAACCCGAATTACATTTTGGTCAGTGCCCTGCTGTGGTTTCCACTAGCTGGTTATCCAAGAATGTGTTCCTGATCGTGTTTTTTCTGGTATTTGACTTTGGCTTTGTTTTGACTCCCCTGATTTCTGGTATTCTTCACTTCTGGCTTTCCTCATTGTTGTGTCACGTTCTGTGTCCCTGACTTTGGCAAGTATTTTGACTTTTCGCCGGTTAAGTATGGCCATTCTAAAGTTCGGTTAAACTTTATCCTTAGTCCTGGGTGTGATACTATTCTGCGTGCTGGATCAATTATAATCCTGACACTGTTTGAGTTGGGAAATTACTCTGCTGATGTCAGTAATGATGTCAGCAGAGAGAATTCTCCTGAGGTAAAATTAGGGGGTTGGATTAGCTTTAAAGGAGCACTATAGGGTCAGGAACACAAATATGTATTCCTGACCCGATAGGGTAAAACCACCATCTAGCCACCCTGGTCCCCTCATGCCTCCCTAAATATAAAAAAATCTTACTTCAAGTCTGTAGCTGCTTACTTTGTCCCTGTTTCCTTTAGACCTGCCCACTGCCTGCTGACATCATCAGTGTCAGGGTGGCGGTACGGAAACCGGGACCCCTCAGTGCCTGATGAGAGGTTAGGAGTCTTCAGCGTGGAAGTGGATTATCAGGGCCTGGTGCAGGGTAACCGCACGCCCCCTGGTGTTGAGCACCAGCGTTTGTGCAGCCACATACCAGAACCCTGATGCAGCTACAGCGGATCCCAGGAACTTGAAGCTGGGAAGTAAGCAGACCTCCCAGGAGCTGAATAGGGAGGCTCTGCAGCAAGAATGTATCCAGTACAGAAACAATGCAAGGCTAGGATAGTCACCAAACAAGACAGAGCTAGTAAAGAACCAGAGAAGGATAGGAACCAGAGAAGGATAGAAAGCTAAACCCAGAACATGTACACAAGACATGAGGGAACATTAACTAAACTGGGGCAGGACAGGACAGGACTGTACATGGACTGGGATTACAAAATAAAATAAGATATGATAGGCAAAACAAGAGGAGAAATAACTAAGCACTATATATGAAAAGTATGGGGATTTAGTCACATTATATGATCATACATTGCATAAGCCTGCCACAACGCCAATGTACCCCATATCTGGCAGGTCCTACTCTGCCTAATGTATGCTAAAACAGCCATACTAAACCACAATAGCACTTACCTGCAAGAAAGGGCAGAAGGCTTGAGCAGCGGCCTGCAGGACACTGAAACAAAAGGAATGATGGAAAACAAACGGGTGTGGCAACATAAAACAAACATTTAAAGGAAACCAAGAGACTGGGAAATCCAGGGACGGAATATAATGAACCCAGAAACCCAGCATAAAGAAAACCAGACATGGAATAGAAAACCAGAAAACCAAGAAAAAACTAAGCAAGGATTGTAAAAAGAGTACTGGATTCCAGAAACCAAGTCAGACAGAACAGAGCAGAGCAGATCCTGACATCATTAGAAGTGGTGTCCTAATCCAATCACAATGCTTGGATCCCCATAGGATTGACTGAGACTGACAAGGAGGCAGATCAGGGGCAGAGACAGCATTATTCAAACACAGCCCTGGCCAATTGGCATCTCCTCATAGAGATGAATTGAATCAATGAATCTCTATGAGGAAAGTTCAGTGTCTGCATGCAGTGGGAGGAGACACTGAATGTTTGGATGCATTTTAGGCAGCCATGACCCAGGAAGGATCTCTAACAGCCTCTAAGGACTGGCCAGTGGAGTTATCGCTAGGCTGTAATGTAAACATTGCATTTTCTCTGAAAAGACAGTGTTTACAGCAAAAAGCCTGAAGGAAATTATTCTGAAAAATTCAAAAAAAAAATAGTCATATTTGACTATTTGACTGAGTTTGCTGCTAAAATGGTAACCGTATATACTCGAGTATAAATCGAGTTTTTCAGCACATTTTTTGTGCTGAAAAAGCCCCACTCGACTTATACTCGAGTCAAGGTCTGTATTATGGCAACCTGTAATAAGCCCGGCGGTCTGTTGCGGGCTGGCAGCAAGCTGTTACTTACCTTTGTAGCCGCTCCGGTCAGCTCCCTTCACCTCCGTGCAGCTCCCCTCTCAGCTTCCAGTGTAAATTTCGCGACACCCGTGGCAACACTCCGCGCGGCACACAGACCATGAGATTTACACTGGGAGCTGACAGGGGAGCTGACCGGAGCTGCTAAGTAACAGCTTGCTGCCAGCCCCCCCACTGCACAGCCCATCCATTGGACCACCAGGGAATGTTACAGCCCCCCTCCCTGGCCAGGCAACAAGCAGGGGGGGGGACTAAAAAAACAACTATTAAATAATAAAATTAAAAAAATAATAATATTAAAAAAAAATATTAAAAAATTTTTATTAATAATAAAAATGCCCTTCCCCCACCCAGTTCATACACACACACACACTCTGCATTCACACAAACACACACACTGCAGCACTCAGTGCTTCCTCTTCAGCTCCCTCGCGCACCGCACTGATACCGGAGCCGGAAGATGACGTCATCTTCCGGCTCCGCCTCCGGCATCCCTACGCGGCGCGCGAGGGAGCTGAAGAGGAAGCACTGAGTGCTCCCTCGCGCGCCCGCCTGCCTGCCCGACCGGCCACCCACCCAGCAGCACCACTGGACCCCAGGGAATAATCCCCCCAGCACTCCAAAAGGTAAGGAGGCTGGGGGGATTACATTTAAAAAAAAAAAAATGTGTGTTTGTGTGTATGTGTGTGTTAGTGTATGTGTGTGTTAGTGTGTGTGTTTGTGTATGTATGTGTGTGTTTATGTGTGCTAGTGTGTGTGTTTGTGTGTTTGTGTATGTGTGTTAGTGTGTGTATGTGTGTTAGTGTATGTGTGTTAGTGTGTGTGTGTTAGTGTGTGTTAGTGTATGTGTGTTAGTGTGTGTGTTTGTGTGTTAGTGTATGTGTTTGTGTGTGTTTGTTTGTTTGTGTGTGTGTGTATGTGTGTGTTAGTGTATGTTAGTGTTAGTGTATGTGTTTGTGTGTTATTGTGTATGTGTGTTAGTGTGTGTATGTGTGTGTTTATGTGTGCTAGTGTGTATGTGTTAGTGTGTGTTAGTGTATGTGTGTTAGTGTGTGTGTTTGTGTGTTAGTGTATGTGTGTGTTAGTGTATGTGTGTGTTAGTGTATCTGTGTGTTAGTGTATGTGTGTGTTAGTGTATGTGTGTGTGTGTCAGCATGTCTGTGTGTGTCATGTCTGTGTGTGTGTGTCAGTATGTCTGTCTGTCTGTGTGTCAGTATATATGTGTGTGTATATCTGTGTGTGTCAGTATGTGTATGTGTCAGTATGTCTGTCAGTGCGTCAGTATGTCTGTTAGTGCATGTGTATGCATGTGTCAGTATATCTGTCTGTGTGCCAGTATGTCTGTGTGTGTGTGTGTCAGTATATCAGTCTGTGTGTGTCAGTGTATGTGCCTGTGTGTGTGTGTCAGTATTTCTCAGTGTATGTGGGTGTCAGTATATCTGTCAGTGTGTGGGTGTCAGTATTTCTGTCAGTGTATGTGTGTCAGTATGTTGATCAGTGTGTGTCTGTGTGTGTGTGTCAGTATGTCGGTATATGTGTCTGTGTGTCAGTATGTCTGTATATGTGCCTGTGTCAGTATGTCTGTCAGTACGTCTACCAGTGTATGTGTCTGTGTGTGTGTCAATATATGTACCTGTGTCAGTGTGTCTGTCAGTGTATGTGCCTGTTTATCTGTATGTAGTCAGTGTATGTATCTGTGTATCTGCTTGTGCGTCAGAGTGTGTACCTGTGCATCTGAGCCGCAACTTTAAATACAAATACTTTAAATACAAATGTATGTGTGTCAGTATGTTGATCAGTGTATGTGTCTGTGTGTGTGTGTCAGTATGTCTGTATATGTGCCTGTGTCAGTATGTCTGTCAGTACGTCTACCAGTGTATGTGTCTGTGTGTGTGTCAATATATGTACCTGTGTCAAACTTCAACACTACATATAAAACACACTCCTGCATTGAAACGTCAACACTACATACAAGCACACTCCTACATTCAAAAACAAACACTACACATAAATGCACACTTGCATTCAAACTTCAGTACCACATACAAACACATTCACACAAACATACTCCATACAAACACATGCTTACATTCAAACATACTAACATGGCTCAGTGCTAAATACAACCCTGCAAGCATGGGAAATTGGTGAGTCCCAGCTGTCAAAGCATTGTTGGAGTTGCACGACAGATGGGGTTCTACCTTTAGTCCAACCTTGCAATTGGGGGTCCCAATAAAATTCATTCTACTTTAGTACCGCCACTGCGTTGGGATGGATGCCGTGATTGCATACCAGGGAGTGAGGGGCGAGAGCGGCAGGGCACAGGGGGCCCAAGCAAACACTTGCCCAGGGTCCATTCGTTATTAAAGACGGCCCTGATAAGTGTGTGTGTGTGTATATATAATGCAGAGTGTGTGTTTGTATGAGTGTGTGTGTATATAATGCAGAGTGTGTGTTTGTATGAGTGTGTGTGTATATAATGCAGAGTGTGTGTTTGTATGAGTGTGTGTGTATATAATGCAGAGTGTGTGTTTGTATAAGTGTGTGTGTGTGTGTATATATAATGTAGAGTGTGTGTTTGTATAAGTGTGTGTATATAATGCAGAGTGTGTGTTTGTATAAGTGTGTGTGCATATAATGCAGAGTGTGTGTTTGTATAAGTGTGTGTGTATATAATGCAGAGTGTGTGTTTGTATAAGTGTGTGTGTATATAATGCAGAGTGTGTGTTTGTATAAGTGTGTGTGTATATAATGCAAAGTGTGTGTTTGTATAAGTGTGTGTGTGTATATAATGCAGAGTGTGTGTTTGTATAAGTGTGTGTGTGTGTATATAATGCAGAGTGTGTGTTTGTATAAGTGTGTGTGTATATAATGCAGAGTGTGTGTTTGTATAAGTGTGTGTGTGTATATAATGCAGAGTATGTGTTTGTATAAGTGTGTGTGTGTGTGTATATAATGCAGAGTGTGTGTTTGTATAAGTGTGTGTGTATATAATGCAGAGTGTGTGTTTGTATAAGTGTGTGTATGTGTGTGTATATAATGCAGAGTGTGTGTTTGTATATATAATGCAGAGTGTGTGTTTGTATAAGTGTGTGTGTGTATAATGCAGAGTGTGTGTTTGTATAAGTGTGTGTGCATATAATGCAGAGTGTGTGTTTGTATAAGTGTGTGTGTATATAATGCAGAGTGTGTGTTTGTATAAGTGTGTGTGTATATAATGCAGAGTGTGTGTTTGTATAAGTGTGTGTGTTTGTATAAGTGTGTGTGTATATAATGCAGAGTGTGTGTTTGTATAAGTGTGTGTGTGTGTGTGTATATAATGCAGAGTGTGTGTTTGTATATATAATGCAGAGTGTGTGTTTGTATAAGTGTGTGTGTGTATAATGCAGAGTGTGTGTTTGTATAAGTGTGTGTGCATATAATGCAGAGTGTGTGTTTGTATAAGTGTGTGTGTATATAATGCAGAGTGTGTGTTTGTATAAGTGTGTGTGTATATATTGCAGAGTGTGTGTTTGTATAAGTGTGTGTGTGTATATAATGCAGAGTGTGTGTTTGTATAGGTGTGTGTGTATATAATGCAGAGTGTGTGTTGTATAAGTGTGTGTGTGTATATGCTGGGGTGTGTGTTTGTATAGGAGTGTGTGTGTGTATATAATGCAGAGTGTGTGTTTGTATGTGTGTGTATATAATGCAGAGTGTGTGTTTGTATATATAATGCAGAGTGTGTGTTTGTATAAGTGTGTGTGTGTATATATGCAGTGTGTGTTTGTATAAGTGTGTGTGCAGATAAGTGTGTGTGTATATAATGCAGAGTGTGTGTTTGTATAAGTGTGTGTGTATATAATGCAGAGTGTGTGTTTGTATGAGTGTGTGTGTATATAATTATAAAAATCACAGAATTTCATAGCCCCAAGTTTTACCCTCGACTTATCCACGAGGCATAGCATATTTCATAATTGTTGGTCACAAAACTGCACTCGACTTATACACGAGATCGACTTATACACGAGTATATACGGTAAATGAAAAGTGTGAGAATGCTCTTAGTTACATAGCCTGGGGGATGTACTTTCTTCAAATAAATACTTTTGTGTAGTGATTTTGGATACTGTAACTACTATTTAAGCTTTACGGTCAGCATACCAAAGGTTTAGTTTTAAAATTCACCACATGCCTTAGGCTTGCTATGCTAAACACCAAACCATGCCACTAGCTCCGGCAGACCGTGGTTTCAGGCCTTCTGTTGTTCTCCGATTAGCTGGAATCCTTTCTGTACACCCTGAGTTTATGTTGTGTTCTCCTATCAGTTTACCTTTAACGTAATGCTCCTGTTGAGCAGTTTCACTTTCATTTACTTTTAAGGGCAGGCAGACTTAATGCATTTTCATGTTTCTTGTTACCAAAATTTTCTTTCCTATGTATAAAGTGCAACGCTCAAGGCATGTCAATTTTGTTTGTCTTCTCCTATCTTGTGGATATGTTGTTTTGAGGTTATTTGTATAAAACTGCACTACCAAAAATAAAAAAAACGTAAATCTCCCCCCACCCCCTATAAAAAAAAAACTGTAATTCTCTCCTTGCAATATTTTTTTTATATCTTTTAAACATTAAAATCCTAAACATATTGGTCATATTAACAATCAGGATGAAATAATAAATCTATTTTGAGTTATTTTTTTCCTGTTGCACTTGTTGTATGTACATTATTAAATGCAAAACTGAGAAATAAAAAGTTTTTTTACATTTTTAAAAAAACATTTGATTTATATTTACTGTTGTGTAATGCATACAAATAGAGTATTAAATCCAAAGCGCTAGCTCATCTTTAAAAACAGACATATCATATGAATGGGTGTACTTAAACAGAGAGGATGACATTGTCGTAGAATGAATGCATTGCAAATGTACCAAAAAAGCCTTGGTTACAAATGTGTTGCATCTCAAAGGAGCCTTGGTCCTTGAGGGATTAGTATATGTTTTGTTTCATTTCATAAAGCAACATTTTTTTTTTTTTTAAAGCTCGTTTTGTTTTGTTTTTTTGCTGCTTTTAAAAAGGGAACAGTCGGGGGAGAGCCTGACCACCATTCCAAGCATCAACATGGAGCTCCACGAAATCAGCTGACACTCAGCCTTAATATTGTGCATTTGCCGGGTTGTCCCAGCTTCCTACTCACCCTACTCCTTGGTGCTCTAGTGGTGGCACGGGTGGGGAAATGTGTACATACCTCTTGGGATACTGATGACTGGACCATCTTGCGGCCTGGGTGGAAGCGTGGGCGTGGGAGAGGCGGCCGATCTCCTCGCCAATAGTTCCCTTGAGCCTGAAACTGCTGCAGACCATCTACAATCCTTCCCCACCCACCCCATTGGTGAGGGATATCCCGGCACCAGCAGTACAATTCTCACAGATACAGAATCGTGCAGAACATCTCGGCAACCAACCATATCAGCAATCTTCCTTTCTAATATGGTGGACACCATGCTCTTACCTGCAAGTTCCTCAGCCCCTATTGGTCTGGCATCTCTCACTCTGACCAAGCTAGATGAGATTTTTGCTGCCTTTTGGGCTAAGCTGTATGAGAGGATGCCGACCTCCACACCTGCAAAGTAGACTGAACCTGTGATCTTGATGGATGTCTCATGTCACGGAAGTGGCTGCAGGATGTCAGTCACCGGCGGTCCTCCAGGGTGTTGGCGACATTGGAGCTGGCTTCACAGGCTGAAATGGAAAGGTCAGCTTTACAGGCTGAAACGGAGAGTCTTCCCCTTCGGGTCAAAAAACCTCAACTCCAGATCAGACAAGTAGTCGTAAACACTTCTGTACTGTACCAACCCGCCTACAACGCGGATCTCTGCGTTGTAGGCACATGTCAACATCCTGTTGCTCTGGCGGACAGTACGTGGTGCCCAGAAGGTATAGGCTGATTGTGACCTTGGGACCGGAGTCTTTCAGACGAGCTATGCCCCAACTGGATCTCCCCACGATGCTTTTATCCCTGAGATGCTTTGATTGCAATAATATCTAAGCATAAATCTGTAACATTTACCTTTAACTCTGTTTTTGCTTTAGTCTATAGCATGTGTCGACTACTTCACACCAAAAAGGGTGCAGCATTCTAAACGTGATCTGCTACTCTTTACTGCTATGTTAAATGTTGTTTTGTGCCTTGTTCAGCATGTATACACAACATTGCACTGCAAAAACAAAGAATTAATAAAATAACAAAAAAAAAGAAAAGAAAAGGGGAACTGTCACTTTTCTGGAATTTACGTGATTCAAAAAAAATCACTTATAAGTGGTGTTAACCTTGTCTTGATGAGATGCTCTATTTTATCTTAAATTTATCATTAAATACACATTTATAAGATTTAGCAAATAACAGAGCACACATTGCAGATGAAGACGAGTAATAGAAACATTGTTTCATTTCTCCCTGTCTCTATGTGTTTTCTCTATGCGGACTGCCAGATGCAAAGGACAGAACTCGGAACAATATCTAACAGGAAGCTAAGATGGAAGCGCCCAGTTGTGGGATAAAAAGGAGAGGAATTCTAATTTACTTTTATTTGTCCCACACACCTTACAAATACAAATGTGTTAAATATATTTATTAAGAAACATAGTATTAATAAATTCTGGGCAATGACAGCTCCCTTTTAATATTCAATTGGATTGGAAAATTATCAAAAGCAGCATTAGTACAATAACTTTTTTTTTAAAGAATGGCAGCTCTGCACAACAACTATGTTGTACGGCGATCATAGCGGGATTGTAGAGGCTAATCAAACAGAAATAAATGAGGGGGTAATATTACAAGATTATCTAGAATTGAGCAGCACAATTCTACCCCTTATCATTAAAATTTCAATTTTCAGGCTCTGTATAATACACAGAGAGCTAGGTGCACGGAGGGTTTGCAATTCATGACCATATAATCACTGGAATGATGGTGCAGATGGGGGCCCATTAGGATTTGAGATTGCCTCACTATATAAATATTTATATATATATAGTGAGGCAGTGTATGAAGTGGTTATGGGATATCCAATCCCATAGCTACTTAGAAGATGAATGAAAAAACATTCTAGTCAGCACCTTCTACAATTAAATGACTTACTAAACATTCCTTGTTGTTTATTGTTATAAATGATTGTTGTTTGGAATCTGAGTATATATTTATAGTCATAGGATAGAAGATGAGAATGAAAGAGCATTGTTTGGCAATACTGCTGCCCGTGTCCCAAACAGGTAGACAGGACAACTTTTCTCTCTAGTAGACTTGTACACAAAAATGAAATTCTGTTCAGCAGAATCTTTCATTCAGATTATTTTATTCTATTTTTTCCTTTGTTTGGTTTTGTCCAAATTGTGTTATAGCCCCCAAAATAAAGAAAAATAAATGGGGGTCACAACTCTTCTCAAAGATAGGGAGAAATGCTCTATGGTCTGCTTGTAAAAACTTCTAATTTGCACATGTTAAATGACGTACTGCCCTCCTCCTATCTAGCCTAGTCTGTGGGAAAGACACTCAGTATTCAGTGGTCTCACTATCCCACATCCACTGGCATCAGATGAGGACATTTATTAAACAGAGCCGGTGAGCAAAAGTACTGCCCATCACTCTCCAAGCATGAAAAATTGCCAAAAACTTGTCCGAAAATATATAACATTTAATAGTTCAACAGATTTAAAATGTTATTCTAACATTTTGGCAAACCATAAAATTAATTTATAATGCCTTACAGGACATTATGTACTAGGTCCGCCCCTTATAAAACTAAAAATAAATGGTTAAACTTACTTGGCATCCAGTACTGGGCAAAACTCCCAGTGCTGCCTTCCACGCCCTGTGTGACATCTGCATTCCCCGATTGGGATCTAATCAAATGCTTCTAGCATTTAGAGAAGGTTTTGATTGGGCCATTTGCCCGGCTCAGAGCATGTGCGTGTTCTGAGCCGAGTAGGGAAGGGTAGAAGAGATTGACAGAGGAGGGGATTTAAAAGGAAATAAACACAATGTAATTCAGGGAGTCAGGAGGGACTGCTCAAATGGAGGGATGAGCAGGGGCACTGCCTGCAAGGGAGAAGATGACCACGTGTCACTACTAGCGTGCTGTTCGCACTGACGACAGACGTACATTTTGACTGAACTGATATTTGGCAGTCAGAAATGCCGCACATACAGACAACAACTACCATGACCCCTTTTAAAAGCAGAAGTTGTTATGGTGGCTGAAGTAAACCTTTAAGAAAGCACTATAGTGTAAAAAGTGTTCTCTGTTTAGTTTATTTCTCCCTCAGCTATATACGTTACGTTGAATTAGTTATCGGCATATGAAGTGATCATAAGTGATCATAAGTGATCATAAAAGCTGCTTACCTGTCACAGAAAAAACTCCACTCTCACAGTGGTGTAAAAATTGGTCAGAAAGAAAACACACATTTTTGCTTTTTTTTTGTACATTAGAAGTGACAAATTTCTAAATGAAAAAAAAAGAAAATAAATTAAATGGGATATTAAAATGACAGAAAAAGCATAGTAAGGAATCTTTTGGAACCCATATGGCAATAAATAGGCACAAATGGGAAAAATGCTAGGAAAACCACATACAAATTGAACGTGATACTTTTTATACATAACCCCCATTGTGTGTCAGAAGGCTGTGTACTAGACGGAAAGACACTGAGGGCTGCCTATGTACAAAGCACAATAGAAGGACAGAATGTCCTGCTTCGGCACAAGCAAGTTTAATGATAAGTTCATGTAGCACTCTGTGTGTACAGGGATCCCAAATCAGGACTGCCCCACAGGATCCAGGTCAGTTGGGAGGTATGAAGACAAGCTGAACTGAGTGGATATGCAGCTGAGAGAGCTACCACTGAATATTTCCTTCCACAAAACATGTGCTCTGATTTTGTGGTCTTCAGCCGCCACTTTTTCCTTTCACTAAAACTGTGGTCAGTCTGGAATTCAGCAGGCGAAAGGAAATGTTAATACCTAACAGATAGATTGATAGTATAGTCAGCTATGTTACTGGCTCAGCCATTTTGGGGTAAAATTTGCAATTATTTCCCAGAAATTTTCTGTTAAAGGGACATTATGGTCACCTGAACAACTTTAGCTTAATGAAGCAGTTTTGGTGTGTAGACCATGCCCCTGCAGTCTCACTGCTCAATCCTCTGCCATTTAGGAGTTAAATCCCTTTGTTTATGAACCCTAGTCACACCTCCCTGCATGTGACTTGCACAGCCTTCCATTAACACTTCCTGTAAAGAGAGCCCTATGTAGGCTTTCTTTATTGCAAGTTCTGTTTAATTATGATTTTCTTATCCCCTGCTATGGTAATAGCTTGCTAGACCCTGCAAGAGCCTCCTGTATGTGATTAAAGTTCAATTTAGAGATTAAGATACAATTATTTAAGGTAAATTACATCTGTTTGAAAGTGAAACCAGTTTTTTTTTTTTTTTTTCATGCAGGCTCTGTCAATCATAGCCAGGGGAGGTGTGGCTAGGGCTGCATAAACAGAAACAAAGTGATTTAACTCCTAAATGACAGTGAATTGAGCAGTGAAATTGCAGGGGAATGATCTATACACTAAAACTGCTTTATTTAGCTAAAGTAATTTAGGTGACTATAGTGTTCCTTTACGTGTTTGAATTCTTGTGTCATTGATCTGTGAGTTTACCCCGTAATCTTGTAAGAAGACCGCTGTTTCTAGCTCTGTAGACTTACTGTATACTGACAGCTGACTGTGTAGGGGACAGAGAATACTGCGGAGTGGGTTTTACAGACTCGTTTTCCTGCCTCTTGTTCTATTATAGGAATTCAGTTTCTCTCTTTCTGTAATGTGGTTTTGTGTGATGCTGGTGGTCTCATACTTTTAGCATTACGAATCAGACTTGAGAAAGTAGGAATAATGTTACAATCTACAGACCAATACCAAAGTAAATATTTATAGAATCTTTGCTGAGGTACGAAGCAGGTCATTGTTGGACAGCTTTCTAATATAGACGTCTATGAACCAGTCACAAGTTTCATTGGGGGGGGGGGGTCTGGCTTCTTTTACTACTATGATGCAGTATGATAGAACTTTCTAGGGCATTCCGGGTGCTGAACAAAACAATTCAGTGAGGAACACATTACCCTTTGGATTTCCAGTTGATCTACAACCTTGATGTTATAACCACTTAGCTTACAATTTCCAAATAGCCCTTTCAAATTCGTCATGAATGGCCTATAAAATCACCTTCCAGCGTTACCCTGCTGCCAGACATCTTTGAGATGCTAGGCTTTCATCCAATATGTCCAATATTATATCACTGTATCATTGATAGAGTTCACATCTGGCATCTCATCATGTGAATGTGCAGTTTGACATATCCTTCAAACTGTGCCATTGTCACATTACCTGTGCTTCCACTATGGCTCCCCTGGCATCCTCCGCTCACTGTCCTTGAGTATTGAAACCAATGACCCACAGTGTGCTAATTCATAGAATGTGACGGTAGATAAGAACCATTTGACCCATTTAGCACTTTCATTAATCCCAGACCTCATCTTATAGCTAGGATAGCCTTATGCCTATCCCACGTATGCTTAAACTCCTTTACTGTGTTAACCTCTACCACTTCAGCTGGAAGACTATTCCATGCATCCACTACCCTCTCAGTAAAGTAATACTTCCTAATATTATTTTTGAATCTTTTCCCCTCTAATTTAAGACTATGTCCTCTAGTCTCCTCCTTTACTGCGTTGATTGCCTTTATGTATTTAAATGTTTCTATCATATCCCCCCCTGTCTTGTCTTTCCTCCAAGCTATACATGTTAAGTTCCTTTAACCTTTCCTGGTAAGTTTTATCCTGCAATCCATGAACCAGTTTAGTAGCCCTTCTCTGAACTCTTTCTAAAATATCAATATCCTTCTGGAGATACGGTCTCCAGTACTGTGTACAATACTCCAAGTGAGGTCTCACCAGTGTTCTGTACAATGGCATGAGCACTTCCCTCTTTCTACTGCTAATACCTCTCCCTATACAACCAAGCATTCTGCTATCATTTCCAATTCCAATGCAAAATTCTGCAATAATCTACCTGTTGATAATGTTGTCACCTTGCCTCAGTCCAGGAACAAAACTCTCACATTTTAGAGACACCAAACTGAGCCTATTTGAAAAGCTCATTCACCTTCTGTTCCCACTGCACAGTGCTGCTACAAGTAATCAGGAGGTTGCTTGTATTAAAGTGACTGTCACCCACCCCTCCCACCACCCCCTTAAAATGAGTATTTCGGAAAACTTCTCATAAAGACTGAAATTCCAACGTTTTCAAAAGATACTTTGTCTTATACATTTTTCCTCTACTTGACAAAAGTTTAGCGCACTGTCAGTATTTATACAGTATGTGTGCCGGACAGGGTACTTTGGTGTGTATATATATATATATTTCTGACATTGTGCACCTGTGTGTGTGAGAATGTCCGTTTTGTGTGGTGGCAGTGAATATCTGCGTGTGTGTGTTTGGAATATCTGTGTATATATGTGTGTGCACATGAACATGTGTATATGTGTGCGTGAATTAGAGTGCGTATATATGTGCATGTGTTGGTGTATATATATATGTGTGCATATATTAGTGTGTGTGAAAAAAGCAACATGGCTGCAATGATGGTGATATGTTATGGGCAACGTCATGGTAATGTGAAAACATATATTATAGGTATACAATATGTATATATTTATTTACAACACTGTTTTCTTGCCTGCAACTTCCTTATTTGGTAAATTATTATTATTATTTTTTTAATTCTATCCAACCAAAATTCTTGTTTTTGTTTCCATTAATTAATCTGCGATCTTGGCATGCTGAAACCAGAAATACAGTTAAACATTACTCCCCAGGACACACAAAACACTCGGCTTCTGAAGATGTTCAGTTATTTTTTGCAAACCACTTGCTAGTGAAGGGGTTAATATATTTATATCAAAGACAGAATTGTTACATTTTAAAATAGTAAACATCTTTTACAAATCACACAGGCCTTTGTGGAGAGGCAAGAAAGACGGGTTTAATTAGTTTACTAAAAACGCCAGAATTAATAGTATTTAATAAAATATGATTTAAAAATAAATTCTAAACATTGGGGAGTTTGAAACATACTTAACACAACCCACAGACATGTTCCATTCTGCACATAAAGTTTTTTCTTTTAATAATATTATTCAAATCATTGTGAGTTTACACTACATACATGTAACCAAAATCACAAAACATATATATATACATTGAGCTACCTGTGTGGAAATGAACTGACAATAAATACTATAGTTACAAATGTTGCTCTTTGCAAGACAGCCAGGCATTATTGGTAAAAACATATGAAAAATATTTTACAGTAAAAAAACCATGTACAATCAATGCTGTTTATTGAATAAACCAGTATTTGTGAAGAACAAGTTAGGGATTTTTAAAATTTGAGGCCAAAATGACTGTACTGGAATATTCTGTAATTCTCTGTATTATGGCTGAAAGCTGGCACATTCCTATTCGGTTCTCCAACATTTCCCCCAATGACTTCTTTCTAGTTTATACAGGTTTATTCGTTAATTTGTGAGATGTTGGAAAATGGCCAGGGAATTGCAAATTTTATACCTAAATAACCAAAACATTGTCCATATAGATTATTGTCCATTTAATATTTTTGGATAAGCTTTTTAAATAATTTAATGTTGTTATTTAACATTTTACAATTATTTTTTTAAATATTAAAATATAAAAAAAATATATATAAAAATATATCAAATATAAAAAAGATATCAAATAAAAATACTGAAATATTTTTGAAAATATCAAATCATTTAAAAAGTTTATCCAAAAATATAAAATCATTTGAAAAGGTTATCCAGAAATATTAATTGGAGGCCATATTTATTTTTCTAGCTTAGCTCTTAATTTGTCTTGAAATTTGCCACCATGTGTACACCCGTGCATGTGACTCAGTGTGACCACCATAACATACATACGACCTATGGATTTACAGTCTATACATACAGTTGAAGACTTATAGCTTCAGAGAAGCTTGTGCCTTTTCCAGGATGTCCTTTCGTATTTTTGGGTAGGTGGGATGATCTTTCAGAACCTAAATCAAAAGTATTCGCAAGTTAATTTGCTAAAGAAGAAACAGATTGCCTTTTACTTTATTTCTGTATCTAGCGGGTCTCACCTTGTGGCATATATCGATGGCTTCTGTGTATTTCTTGTCTTTCAGATAATTGAATGCAAGTCGGAAACCTGTAATAAATATGTATAGTGTGTCACATTAGTAACAAAGAATGATATATTTGCCTGTTCCCACCCTATCACGTCTTTTACATGCTGCCAGTGACTTTACTTTCACCTTTATGTAGAGAGAGATGGGGCAGTGAGAAGAGGATTGTATTTATAAATAGAGGAGACTGGGATATAAATCCAGCATTTAAACCAAACATGAGACAGACTCGTTAAATTCTGCTTCTGCAGTGGTATCATATATATTATTGGATCCCAAACAGTAACCATGTCCATATTTTAGAATTAAATGAAGATTTATTCTAATTTACCTAACACTGGCATTTCTTGGGATAAGCCAGTACACATAGGAATGGGTATTGCACTCCTTGGCCTGCATCAAGCTGGATGATTGGATGATTAGACATATATATGTAATGGTCAGTTTGAGAAGCAATGCTGGAATCAGGCATCAGACCAGAAGCAGGAATCTTGTGGATAGACACCAGAGGTACCATGTGACAAAGTACCCAGAATTCCCTGCATGTAAATACCCACCAATAGCTGGGCTTGACTGACTGCTATATTTCCAAGCGTCCTTGTAGTGTTGTGCAGCATCTTTGTATGACTGCTCCTTCTCCATTATAAAGCCCAGGTATTCATATGCTTTACTGCAGGACTGAAAGTAGAAAGGTTGGATATTAGTTCAGCGATTTAGCCTATGAGCAAGGATCACCTCGAGATAAGCCCTGATATAGGATTCCTTATAACCTTTTCACTAAAAACGGGTCTATGTGGTCCAGTCTGGCATTAAATTACACCCTGAAATCTGGAGCCCAATGGAGTCACTTAGTGTGTCCCCATGGACAGATCAGCCATGTGGAAATGTAATATCTACCCTTAAAAAAGTAATTTAATGAAAAAGGTAATATCACTCACTAACCGTTGCATTTAGTAACTAAATAGGTAAAATATGGACAAAATGTAACAGGCATTGTCTCACCTTTTTCCTGCTCACTTGTGCCATCAGTTAAGCACCATAACATGACAGTCAATAAGCATCACTCTGGAGCAATCTACTGCTGTCATGTGTGTCAGGTGACCTGGATGGCAGACTAGGAGTACCAGTACTTTGTTTTTTTTGAAAATCTTTTTATTGAGATTGAGATATATCACTATGTAGTAAGCAGTGAGTTGGTAAACAATGTGAAACTCGCAGGTTTCTATAGTATATTAGTACACAAAATATAACACAATGAGATATGCAAATCTCCACATAACTTCCCCTAGAGAGACATTTTAAAAGCAATATAATTATACAACGAGGGGAAACAGTGGTATCATATAAAATGGAACGGCTGTAACAGACAGGTTGCTTCCCTTAGCCAGTATGTGCGTAGAGGGTAAACGGGAGTTGCGTCGGGAGAGGTCGTTCTCAGCTATTTATGGCGGGAGCCACATAACACTGTGTTACCTGGTCTTTCAAACGGGTAATTGAAGTCATTGTATGAAAGGCAAGCCACTGGCTCCCGCTAGGTTCGGGACCGTAGGTCCGTGTTGGTGTCGCTAGGTGTATCCTAGCACGCAAAAATAGTGGGAGTATTCCCAGTTCGTAGCTAGCATGCGTGAGGGCCAGCGTCGTTACCAATCCTGGCAGAGCCTGCAATACGCTGATATCCCGTGTTGCGAGTTACATGTCGTTGGTATTGACAACGCGAGTGTCAATGTGAGTGAATGTTCTGCGTCACTGGTGTGTGTACCAGCGTTAGCATTTGGTGAGCGTGAAGTGGGTCCTTTCGGTGCACAACCATAAGTGATGAACATGTATTGTCCCTCACTTCGGTTTGTACCACAGTAGTATGTGTATCTAAGAATATCTCGTGTTCCCCAAGCCATGATTTATCGTTCAGATCCTGCGAGGACTAAAAGCATACGTGACGTGAGGGTGTAGCAAATTGCACGTCTACTAATACTTCCCCCTAAGCCCCCTCCCTCAGCCCCGAGACCCGGAGCCCATTAGTTAAGTGATTGCAAAGGTGAAGAGAGATATGGAAGGAATGGGTATAAAAGAAAGGGAGGTAGGGTGGGTTAGTCTGCGTCAAGTGGAACCAGCGTCTGCTGTCACTCCATTAGTGGGTTCAGGAGAATCTGCTCTTTGTCTGTATTGGGTAATGAATAGGAACCAAGGGAGCCACATCTCCGTATGTTTCGTTTTACGGTCGGTCAGGGTGGCGTGAATGTCTTCCGCCCCATATATGTCTTCCACCCTGCGGATCCATTCTGTCTTTGACGGTATGTTGCGTTGTTTCCAAAGTGCTGGTATGTTAGCTTTAGCCGCGTTTAACAGGTGGCGTAATATAGATCTTTTGTATGTCCTGATGGGTTGCGTCGAGATGTGCAACAGGGCTAGCTCCGCGCTCCATTCCGGGATATCTCCCAGGATGTCAATTATCGCTTCCTTAATCATCGTCCAGTATGGAACGATGTCCCTACATTCCCACCATATGTGTATCAGTGTGCCGCGTTCTGCCTGGCATCTCCAACACAGTGGGGTGATTGATGGGAAGATCCTGTGCAACAATATCGGGGTCCTGTACCATAATGAGAGCAATTTGTAGTTAACTTCCTGGTAGTACGAACTCATTGAGCTTTTCTGCTGCCACAGTAATGCCGTGTCCCATTGCGCTTGTGTGAGTGCCTTTCCGAGTTGTTCCTCCCATTGACGGCGAAAAGTGGAGGCCTGAGATATATCCCCTATAAGTAAGTGTTGGTACATCGCCGAGATTGCGTGGTCTAGTGGGGTGCCCCGGATGCATAGGCCTTCAAACCAGGTGAGGTCGCGATGCAGGCGATCATTGTGCGGCAACGAGTTATAGTAGTGTTGTAATTGAAGGTATCTGAGGATCGCGAGAGGGGTCCTAGGTTCTGTCCCCAATAAGGAGGTCAGGTCCCGTAGCCTACCCCCTTCAAGAACTTGATAGATGGGGACATAGTCCCTAGTGCCCGCGATAGGCCATGCCCCTGATGGTAGTCCGCCTCCCAAAGTCATATTATGCGTGATTGGAATCATGGGGCTGGGGGTAGGCGAGATGTGGCCCAGGTTCCTCAGCGACCTCCAGCCGAGCAGCGTATGTCGTATCAGGCCCCCTCTATTTTCGTTGGACACCTGACCCCTCACACCTCCCCATATCTCCATCTCGAGTGATGGTCCGAGTAGGCCTTTGTCAAGTTCTACCCATTGTTTCGTTGTGGGGTCCTGGTGCCAGTCCAGTATCCGTTGCATCATCGTGGCTTGATGGTATTTCTTGATATCCGGGAGTGCGAGTCCTCCGTGATTTCTTGGTCGGCAGAGAATGTCATATCGGATTCTGGAGCGATCGCCGCGCCATACAAATTTGATTATAGCCGTTTTCAGAGAGGAAAAGAAGATACTTGGTATGGCCAGTGGGATTGTCTGCATAAGGTAGAGAATTCTCGGTAAGATATTCATTTTGAGTACTGCCACTCTGCCGTGCCATGTTATGTGAGGGTACGACCATCTATTCAAGTCCGTGACGATTGACTTCATGAGGGGAGTAAAGTTGATTCGATATATATCGTCTGGGGCCGTGGCCACCCAGATTCCCATGTATTTCATTTTACCATAACACCAACGGAAAGGAAATTGTGAGTCGAGGGATGCGTATTCTTCGGAAGGAATCGTGATGTTCAAGACTTCACATTTTGAGAGGTTAAGTTTGAAACCTGAGATTTGACCAAATTTGTCGAATTCCGAGAGCAGGCAGGGTAATGTTGTCCTAGGGCTTTGCACAAAAAACAAGAGGTCGTCAGCGTACGCGGCTACTTTATGGTGTGTATCTCGCCAGTTATAGCCCTGAATGTCCGGGTTTAAGCGAATCGCCTGGAGTAGTGGTTCCAATGACATTGCGAACAGAAGTGGTGAGAGTGGGCAACCCTGGCGGGTGCCATTACTTATCGCGAAGTCGGCCGTCGTGGACCCGTTTACTCTCACATTCGCGTGTGGTTTACTGTATAAAGCTGATATCCAAGTGAGGAACCTATGTCCACATCCCATTCGATGTAGTGTGGCCTTCATGTACGTCCAGTCGACTCTATCAAATGCCTTTTCCGCATCAGTTGATAAGAGGAGTAGCCGAGTTTTTGTTGCTCTGGCATGTTGCTGGACGGAGAACAGCCGCAGAGTGCTATCTCTAGCCTCCCGTCCCGGGATGAAGCCAGTCTGGTCTACGTGAATCAGATCCGGTAGGAGGTGGTTGAGTCTGCTTGCAAGTACCTTGGTGAATAACTTGGCGTCTACGTTCAACAAGGAAATTGGGCGATAGCTTCCGCAGAGTAGTGGGTCCTTTCCCGGCTTAAGCAAAACCGTAATGGTCGCTGCTAAGGACTCCGCGCCCAGGTTCCCGCCTTCACCCACCGCGTTGATCGCTTTGGTCAGCCACGGTAGAAGGAGATTGGAGAAACTCTTATAGTAACCAGTCGAAAAGCCGTCCGGACCTGGGGCCTTGCCCGATTTGGATACCTTAAGGGCTGCCGCTAGCTCCTCCGTGCTAATCGGTGTGTCGAGCTCGGCCGCCGAGTCTTGGCCGATTGCGTTAGTGATCGTGTCGGACAGATAGTTTGTTATTCGTGCGTCGTGGCTTGCTTCGAGTGTTGTCCGATGGGAAGGGTATAAGTTATAAAGGTTACCAGTACTTTGTGTACTATGTGGGTCATAGCCATTAGTCTCTGAGAAAGTGCCACGTTTCCCCTGATGTGTCACCCCTCTGTTCACCGTCTGTACATACACTTTTTATATATATTTTTTTATATGACTGTGATAGAATAAAGCTATGACTCTGATTGTCACAATCACGTCTGGATTTTTGCCCTGCAATAGAAGACCTAGAGTTTGTTGCAGTGTATATGCCATTATACCTCAACATTTGCTGTCATCAGGCCATTTACAGAACGTAGCACCACAAGGAAATACTGGACTGTTGCCTTTGTCAAAGAGTGCTAGCATACATGAGCCAGAACAGAGAAATAATGTCCCTGAGCATATCAGACTTGTCCCTAATATGGGAGCCAAGAGGTCATTATTCCCCAGGAGAAGCTCTGGCCCTATATCTGAAAGTACACAGACATGTATAAACATGTGTACCTGCTTAATTAGAATATGATTATATTGCAGCATCTCCTGTCTTCTACCTACCTTGTTATACATTAAGCAGCGTTTCAGCAGCTCGGTTGCAATGTCATATTTTCCTGATTTAATATATATATCGGAGAGCAGCAACCAGCTCTTCTCCAGATCTTCAGCCTCTGCCAAGGACCAGTTAAATTTTGACAGTCGCTTCAGGTGGTTTCTGGCACGAGGTGTCTGCTTAAGAATCATATAAGCCTGGGCAACAGCAAGTAGAGAGGCAGCACTTTCTTTCTAGAAAAATAAGGGGCACAGTACGCAGAATTATTAGAGTAGTGATGTTTTATTATGCCACCTTTTTATGTTTCAATATATAATCACTTTAGGACTTTCAACAGGGTTTATGTCACTTGACATCCACATTAGAACATTTAAGCCACAGCAAAGCTAAAAAAAAACAAAAAACAAAACTCAGTTTAGATGTGTCTTTATTTGTGTGTCTGTTTTACTATTTCTTGTTTAATTTGACATCTTAATTGACGGCTTACTATAACTAACTGCCCATTTAAAACTCCTATAAATCTCCACCGGCAACAAGAGGTATGGCAAAGAATATAGATTCAAGGCATTTTATAACCAAATTTCCTTTTATAAATCTGCACAATTCGTAGTATTGCATTTTTAATTTTACAAATGACTTAAGTTTAAAATGTTTCTTTAGAAAGCAAAGAATATACAGTTTGCCAGAGTTAAAAGGAAACTATTTTTCCTTTAGAAACAATATCACAACTGTTAAAATGTATGTGGAATATAAAAACACAATAAAGAAACAATTCTGAAAACACACATACACACAAAAAAAACCTACATTAAAACCACTGACAGATGAAATAAATAACATTGATTATATCATTACAATAACACCTGTCAAGGGGTGGGGTATATAACACAGCAAGTGAACAGTCTGTTTTTGAATTTCATGTGTTGAAAGCAGGAAAAATGGGCAAGCGAAAAGATCTGAGTGACTTTGACAAGGGCCAAAGTCTTTTGGGGCTTTTCTGGTATCCAGTGGTTATTACCTACCAAAATTGGTGCAAGAAAAGACAAAAGGTGAACCGGCATCAAAGCCGTGGTGTCCAAAGCTCTTTGATGTACGTGGGGAGCGAAGGCTAGTCCAGCAGGTTGCTGCGCATGGGGCTGAGTAGCTGCAGACTGCTTAGAGTTCCCATGATGATCCCTGAGTAGACCATGGAGCAATAGAAGAAGATGGCCTGGTTTGATGAATCATGTTCATCTTGGGCTTTATCTCCTAGAGAACATGCAAAGGAAAGATTGCTTCCCCCTCCCTCCCGCCCCGCCCCTCCCTGAGCTGGCGAAACGGTCCAATCACAGGGTTCTCTATGAAAAGCCAGTGCTTGATTCTAGATCAGTGAATCTCTTTTATTTGTAGGTTATATTACAAACAGGATTGGGAGAAAAAGGGACCTTCACCATAGTGCCCAATAGGGCATGTTACACAAGAAAGGTGCCTCCCCTTAAATGGTTGGAGTGACCCTTTAAGAAGCCATCCTTTTGCCTCATTTTTCCAGTATTCAACATCTAAAAGGTATCTTCTGAAACCTTCTGATTACACTGAAATGTCAATGTCTTTATGAGTTCATAAAGCTTGAAAGAGACAATGCTGCGTTAAAGAATTTCACACAGTATGGAAAAGCCACCACATATATAACTGGCAGACACCTACCTCGGCATTGGCCATTTCTGTAAAGATGCTGAGAGCTGTTTCCATGTTTGACCGTTCTTTACTTGCCATCAAGCAACAGCACTTTAACATGGTGAGCTGGTTCTGGGCCTGCAGAGTGCGTGGGTGGAACTCCTTTAGTAGCTTCTCTGCGGTCCGAACCGCACGCCTTTCCAATTCTATCACCTCGTCTGAAGGACTGTAAAATACAGAAATATTAACGGTCTGACAGCCGAACACAACTTTCTGTTCTATATTCAGAGATGATGAGGATTTAGTTTCATTCTCTTTTAGTTTAAGGATATTCGGATAAAATCTTAATTTGGGAATGGAATACATTTGTTGGATTAATAATATAGAGAGGTTTTAAGTGTCCGCTAGACGGTAAGCATATTTACTCTACTACTATTAGCACTTTTCACCAATCATTTCAGATTATATAATGGTCCAGAACATATTTACCTTTTATCTTCATCCAAGTTTTCAAAAACTTCTCCTCCCAGCAGCACATTGTCAGGGTTCAGGCAAATTTGAATCATATTGTTAATAGCGCTTTGACCCCATTCATTGTCTCTCCGAGCCTTATTAAAAAATCCCAGTGCGTCATTAGGTTGTCCTATGTGCCTATTGGGCATGAGAATGTGGAAAAAACTAAATGAAAAAGTGTCAGGGTAGACATTTTTGAAGATCATTTTTTTCACAATATACATATAAATGTATTGCATTATTATGTTATGTCTGTATTTAATAACACAGGATCAATATAATTACTTAAGCCATGGTCTAATTAGCAAATATGTGCTACTGAAGGAAATTATTTTCCTCAATGCCAACCGCTTCAGATTTAATGGCAAGTTTGCTGAACCAGTAATCTGCTGTCTTTTAAATCTCGCATTCTGTGTTGACATTCACACTAGACATTGCTCCTCATTTTTTACCAGCATTGAATGAAGTTAATGATTTTTTTTTTTAAATGACATCCCTACATGTGTCCTCATAGGTCCAACTGTTAAATCCATTCTAAGTGTTTCTTCTGAATAAAATGAACATATTAAGATTCGACTGATGAGTTTCATCTCCTTTTTTGGAGACACTTGTAAAAGGATTGACATGTTTGTGACTGGATCTCATATTTCCCCAACTTCTATATTAATACCAACTACAACAGTGAGAAAGCCTGATTTCGCTCAACCCAGCTTCTGGATTCCTGCAGACATCGCTGAGAACCATACTTATAATCTGACAGTGAAATGGCAAAGTCTCCTGAGATACTTTAGAAAGTGTTGCTAGTCAGGGTCATGTAGCACAGCTGAATTGGAGTGCGAGGTCTACAAGTGACCACACTTTCCAATAACATGGCCAACACAGGGAGCTGTGAGTATGGTTAGACAGATAGAGGGGGGAAAAGTACTGCCAAGCGAAGCTCACTCCCATGTTGCTCGGCCTCTCTTGATCTACAACCCAGGAATTACCATGTCTTGGGCCAGCCCTTTTGCTAGCAAATTCAATCAATTTATTTGGAGTAGGTTGTCACAGTGACTGGATCTTTCATTCTTCACTACATCCATAGTTAGATAACAAAAACAACTGTTAGACTCCACGACAAAAATATTCCCCCAATTAACCAAACATGAGGATTTCCTGCAAACAACCGAATGTCCCAAAGAATGTGGATGATTTACCAGCAGTATAAGCCTTTGCAATAATTATATCCAGGCTCCAACACAGTTCGTGAAGATTTTGCTAAAGCCATATCAAAGAACGCAGGTGCTTCGCTTAGTTTACCACTTCTTCTGAGTAGGTCAATTAACTTACTCAAGACAGTGAAGTTATCTACAATGGAAAAAAAAGAATTAGATGATAACATGGTCAAATATAGCTCCATGCAATTACTGTAGGTGGCAAGGAGAAATTTAGGCATAAAGATTGTTTATTTGCTTATATTTTTTTTAAAGTATAATGGACAGTCTTATGTTTCAAGGAAACTTCCCATTAAGTATAGTTGGTGTACTTATGTATTGCCAAAAACAAGAAGCCCTAGCACAATAAGATGCAGTGGTTATAGTACTCGGTATGTCCTTTTTAGCACTGAGACAAGACAGAACAATTGTCTTGTCCAATTGGTGTTTTTCCTTAAACCAGTGTGGTCCTATGTTGGATTCTCACATAACTTTTTTAATGTTTTGATTTGTTGGAAGACTGGGCAAATCTTATAAAAATGAAAAATGTCATTACATCTGAGAATATTGAAGGTGAGAATCCTTGAGAACACACACACACAATCATTGAACATTTTGAATTTGCATCAGATGCCAAACTATGCCAGCACAGACTTGCACTGAATAAAAATTTAAAAAAAACAACAACAATAAAAACAAACAAACAACATTTTTAAAAAATTATAGTACAACTGACTTTTGGCTCATAGAATGTAATAAACTAGAAGATCATTTCGGATTAGTGAGAATTTAGGCAGGTGAGATATAAATTTAAATATCACGCTGTCTTAGAGATCTCATTAATAGTTAATTGGAAAAACAAATAATACATTTTTTTTTTAGAGAGCTATTAAATGGAGAATGGAGCTAACTTATATTACATCTGTACATTTAAAGACCCAAGGTACAGTCTCACCTGGAGCTTTTTCCAGTACTTGCTGAAAAAGTTCTATGGATTTTGTATAATTCTGTTTACGAAACATTATGTCTGCCATCATCTAAAAAACAATAAGATAATAATCAAATTAGAAAGACTTTGGAATATCTGGCATTATATGTGACATGATATAGTTACACTAGCTACAGAAGATTACATTTGTGATAAACTTCACTATTGCCGTTATAGTTGCCACTGGGAATTACAGAACATCTGCACAGATTATTTACCTTGAAAGTACATAAATCATACAACTAAACACCATATGGTTTACATCAAGCGCAGTTACGATCCTCTCATGCCCTGATTGCACTTTTGAGACAATCCATTAAAATGTCTGGCATAGAGTTGCCGAGAGGCCTTGAAGTATAGTGTTTGGCTTATGAGCTGGATATTTGGTCATTGTGTTTTATTTGTTAATGCAGTAATAATAACCTCTATTCATTTTGTGTTGTTCTGTTCTTATATCTCGGCTTATAGCAGAGTAATGGTTTCAGCAGAGACACTTTGTTTCCACAAGCGAGATTTATTGAGACAGTTGGAGTGAAGGAAACTACCACCATGTGGAAGAACTGATGCCAGGAACACAGAATTAAAATACATGGAAAGACAGGATCCCGGCGTCTCTCTGACCGTCCACATTATGTAAACATTAGATATAAAATAGGGTCATAGATATATCGGACCCCAAAACTGGATGGAGGACTCTACAATAATTAGACTGAAATACAGAAAAATAGGATTACAATATAGTTTATATAATGTCAGTTAGAGGGACACTCCACTGCATAAATAAAAAGCACTCTTTAGGAAATATACCCCCAACAAAAACATGCAGGCATTTAATTATGATTTTTTTCATTGTTGGTATATCTAATAACTGTTTGCTACTTGTCTGCACCCTTTGCAAGCCCTCCCCTTCTAACCCCGCCCAGACTTTCTGTGGCTGTCCAATCACAGACTTCCCAATGCAGCTCAATGAGAAGTCTCTGCAAGGCAGGTGCTCTGGGCAATTGCTGCCTTTTGAGTTTACCGCCACTGAGCTAAACAAACCAGGAAGTAACAAGACCTGTTGTCTGATTGACAGCCAGGGGGATGTAACAAGGCTAATTTAAGACAGTGACAATTTCCATTTAAAATGTGCAATTTTTGTAAAATGAAAGGAAAGGACACACTCTTCACACATAAAGCATTTCAGCTAGCTAACGTTGTTTAGGAGTCTGGACGGTATTGTATTTATGTTTGTATCTATCCATTCACTAAAGTGAGAATTCAAAATGAATGTTAAATTCAAGGCCCTGAAGCATAGCTAATGCTGGAGAATTCTATGTATATATCTATCTATCTAGCTATCTTTATTAAGGAGAATGTTTTAGGGTAATCAAGTACACACATTCACTAGCTAACATTAATAATATTGTTAATTTATATTCAGTACATTACTAACCATATCATTGTTATAGAAATGTCTGGAACTAGGTTTAACGACCCTCTGTTCCACTGCTAGAAACATTTAGTCCTTTGATGACGGCTGCAAATATTGGCAGAAACATTGGCCGGAGATTATGTTTCTTCACAAATAACATACTGGAATTGTTTCAGTCCCTTAGACCAATCTCCAGTAATACCCGTGTTAGTGCATGTTTTTTACAGGTACACTCTGGGTACCAAAAAAACATGCATTTGATAGGTTTTGGCCTCATCATTGCTGTTTTTCCAATTGTTCAAACACTCGATCTTTTCACGAAAAAAAAAATTTTTAAGTGCATACTGACCTCAGCCAATGAGAGATCAGCATGAGCTGGGTTGCTGACTTGACTCTTCCCCTACAGCCAATCAATGTCCTCTTATTATCTGTATGCTGCTAAAAAGCTGTATCTTGTGCTCATCTGACATCAAAACCTTCTCCCATACTTAAGCCAAGTCACACTCCAAGTCTAACTGTGGCTGGTTTTGAGTAATGGCCTCTTTACAGGACAGTTTGATTGAGAGGTCTTGAAATTGTTGAATTGCACACATTTACTCCAGTAACTGACCTCTGTAGCTCTTTTGATGTGATTGATTTCTTTGCCTCTCACAAGCCCTGTCCTTGCACGGCTGGCACGTGTTCAAGCCTTTGAGGATGTCCTTTTCTAGACAGTGTATTTGTAGTATGCTGTAGCCACCACATCACACTACTAATCCAACAGTGTCTGGGATTTGCGAACGCTCTGATATTACTTTGTACCCTTTTCCTACCTGATGTAGTGGGAGTATTAAATCTTTTACGGCTATTCACTTAGTTCTACATGGTCACAGATCTACTGAAGAGCGGTCCTCTGACTAATGATCCTTATTCAGAGAAGGACTTTTATCCACACCATTCTGACCAACTATGTGCTATGGGTAGATAATATTATTGAAGGATTCTGGAGCATCATAATAAACCATGGGATTGAAGGTTGAGTGGTTTATAAATGTCTCCAGAACACAAACATAGCATCATTTTCCTCTAACTCACGCTTTTGTTACTGAGCAAAAGAAAGTAAAACGAGCCTAACAAATTGAGAGGATACACGAATTGTGGGGGGTAGCCCCAGGTGAGAAACTAATAGAACAAAAGTAGAACAGTATACCTCAAAGGGAACTAGAAAACAAAACGTATGCGATGTACGGTATATATTTAATGTTTCTAATGGGATGCAAGTAGTACCCTCACTAGACTCGGCAACATAAAAATCCAAAAAACAAATAAATTTTGTTAACGAGAAAAAGACAATACTATCATTTAAAGAGTGCTCGAAGTACAAACGTGCTAGAACTGCAAGTATATGTAAAGTGGACAGAACAAAGGATTATGAATTATAGTAGGTCATCAGTATACTTAACCCATAATTGATGCCAAAAGAGTACTGTCCGCCAATACTTGCTGTGGGATAGTGTGTGTGTATGGGAGAATATAAAGGCAGCTTACATGTCTGCATACCGTGTAATCCTATATTGCTGGACTAAGCTGCAAACAATATATATATAGGGGATAGGAGAGGGGAGTAGAATAAGATGGATATCATCGCTGGACTAAGCTGCAAACAATATATGGATAGGGGATAGGAGAGGGGAGTAGAATAAGATGGATATCATCGCTGGACTAAGCTGCAAACAATATATGGATAGGGGATAGGAGAGGGGAGTAGAATAAGATGGATATCATCGCTGGACTAAGCTGCAAACAATATATGGATAGGGGATAGGAGAGGGATGCATAGATTTAATATTCAAAAATGAATACAACTCTAACCACTGGATACTGAGGTCCAGAAGAGCGAGTATAATCTGGAACTATAATATCATAGAGTAAGTCTGTAAACTTAAAAATATTGCAGTGCAAAAAAGTACATAGCATGTACCCCCTCAAGAATGCCTAAGACAATTCAAAAATACTAATATAGTTTAAGCCTGTAGGCTATCCTCCTAAATCACCGGTCCGTGGGTATAGTTCAGCAGACTCCTGACGTTATTGTCTATAGGGTAGGTCAATGTCTGAATTTTAAATACTCTAAACGGATCACAAGTGTCAGTCCTACTGTGTCAAGTGTCAAAATATTTTGGCCACATGTGACGTGACTTCCCTGTATAGTATCATTCCGCATGAAAAAGGATTGGCAGCGGTGAAATATTTTTTAGAAAAATCAGATTTTAAAATAGAACAAATAGAATATATTTTAGAAGGGATTTTACTTATTTTAACTCACAATTATTTTTGGTTTGAAAACTCTTTATTTGCAAATTTGCGGCAATGCAATGGGCACAAAATTTGCCCCAAGCTACGCAAATTTTTTTATGGCGTTTTGGGAAGAGGCATTCGTTTTCACAGAACTTCAGTGGAAGAGACATTTGATTACATATTGCCGGTTTATCGACGATATCTTTTTCATATGGAATGGAACTATGGAAGTTTTACAGGAATTTATAACATATCTGAATAAGAACAATTGTGGGATCCGTCTGACTAGCACCTTTAGCGACTCTCATATTACTTTTTTTTTCTTATTCTTTTTATTGAAATTTTTTTTCTCATTTTATCGTACATATGACAAAATAGTGTAATATACATACAAGACAAAAACAAGTGTGACAATAACAAACATATAATTTACATGTAAATGGGATAGTGGGATTATTCAGCTTTAAGACACATATTTTAGTAGCTCTAGCTAGTCTATTATGCAAGGAAGCTCCTCATCTCTATAGAGCTGCTGTTTAGACTCCACACCTATCCTTTTACAGTAGTTTAACACTGTTGCTTTTTATCATATACACACACACACACACACAGATTTCTTAGATCGTCTAGTTCGTTCCCTACATAGGGGAGCTCCTTATTGTGTTAGAGCTCTATTCACTAGCGATTTACTTATTAGGTATATGGATACTTGACACAGTAGGACTGACACTTGTGATCCGTTTAGAGTATTTAAAATTCAGACATTGACCTACCCTATAGACAATAAAGTCAGGAGTCTGCTGAACTATACCCACGGACCGGTGATTTAGGAGGATAGCCTACAGGCTTAAACTATATTAGTATTTTTGAATTGTCTTAGGCATTCTTGAGGGGGTACATGCTATGTACTTTTTTGCACTGCAATATTTTTAAGTTTACAGACTTACTCTATGATATTATAGTTCCAGATTATACTCGCTCTTCTGGACCTCAGTATCCAGTGGTTAGAGTTGTATTCATTTTTGAATATTAAATCTATGCATCCCTCTCCTATCCCCTATCCATATATTGTTTGCAGCTTAGTCCAGCGATGATATCCATCTTATTCTACTCCCCTCTCCTATCCCCTATCCATATATTGTTTGCAGCTTAGTCCAGCAATGATATCCATCTTATTCTACTCCCCTCTCCTATCCCCTATACATATATATATTGTTTGCAGCTAAATCCAGCAATATAGGATTACACGGTATGCAGACATGTAAGCTGCCTTTAGATTCTCCCGTACACACACTATCCCACAGCAAGTATTGGCGGACAGTACTCTTTTGGCATCAATTATGGGTTAAGTATACTGATGACCTACTATAATTCATAATCCTTTGTTCTGTCCACTTTACATATACTTGCAGTTCTAGCACGTTTGTACTTTGAGCACTCTTTAAATGATAGTATTGTCTTTTTCTCGTTAATAAAATGTATTTGTTTTTTGGATTTCAATGTTGCCGAGTCTAGTGAGGGTACTACTGGCATCCCATTAGAAACATTAAATATATACCGTACATAGCATACGTTTTGTTTTCTAGTTCCCTTTGAGGTACACTGCTCTTATTTGTTCTATTGGGTTAGTGAGCATATACGTTCTCCTCTGAGAAAGCAATTACAAATATATTTACCATTGAAGCTGCCTCATTATAATTCGGATCCATAAAAAGTGCTCTACATTGCTGTTCACAGGAGTCCACGTCATTCATTTTCAGGTACAAATGGGATAATTCCAGCATCACCTGTAATGAGATATTTATGGTTTAATGTCCCCCTGCATATTGGACATTAAGATACACTATAAAAAAAATAACATGTTCTCATGCTAAAGATCAAAAAATGATTATATCCATATCTTTCTTCCAAACATACCTATGGATTGTATAATGTGCTGGATCTGTTTTTAGAAACAAAGCATGTAAATGTGTTAACGTGTAATCTGCAGATGGCGATGAGGTAGAGAAACAAGAATCTTGACTCATATTTCTGCGTGGGGTAACACCCATTTTAAATATTTTAACGAATATTAGTCATGATATTGTAACGCCAATGCTTGATCTAAAACAAAAAGTGTGTAATCAACACTACTACCACAGGTTCCACGATAAACATCTACATTAATAAGTAGAGAACCTGCTTTCATTAAACACAATGCATATCAAAATCAGAAATGAAAAAAACTGGCAAGAGAGGACAACTACTCGCTATCCTCTGAGGAATAGGACAAGTTTCACTCATGACCATGGAAAATACTCACCTGTTTTCAAGAGTGTGTGAGAGTGAACTTTGGAAACGTTAAATAAAAGACTACAATCCATATAAGGAAAAATTATTTTTAAAAAAAAACCGCTCACTTTGCCATCAGTCTCCGTATAAGTCATGGCTTCTTTGTAGCATTTTAGGGCTTTTTCGTAATCCTTTTGTTCTATATAATGCTCAGCGAGTTGGACGCAAATTTCGGATGCAATTTTCTTTTGTGCTGGGATAATATCGGGTTGTTCCATATGTACACGCTTTAGGACCCGCAGCTGAATATCAAGAGTCTGGAAAGACAATGGTGTTAAAAAGACACAGTTCCTGATTTAAAAAAATATAGCTTGCTGAAGTGATTATAGTGCAAGGATCTAGTCTGTATAACATTTTATTTACATTATAGCATTTTATATTACATTTCCGTCCGACATTTAGCTTCACCTCCAGCTCCTGCTAATCATCTACCTGGAAACATTTTTTTCTGAGCTGGTTAGATCAGTTTTATCCACATTGTGTGTGACCTTTGCACACTGCACGTATAACTTGGGCTGAGCTCTCCCTCCTCCAAGAAGAAAGAGCTGAGTCTCAGAGCATGCATGCGCTGACCATGGCTGTGCCAATAGCTGCACATAGCCCAGTTCACTAACTATGTTACAGATAAACCAAGAGCTGAGCCTCGGAGCATGCATGCGCTGACCATGGCTGTGCCAATAGCTGCACATAGCCCAGTTCACTAACTATGTTACAGATAAACCAAGAGCTGAGTCTCGGAGCATGCATGCGCTGACCATGGCTGTGCCAATAGCTGCACAAAGCCCAGTTCACTAACTATGTTACAGATAAACCAAGAGCTGAGTCTCGGAGCATGCATGCGCTGACCATGGCTGTGCCAATAGCTGCACATAGCCCAGTTCACTAACTATGTTACAGATAAACCAAGAGCTGAGTCTCGGAGCATGCATGCGCTGACCATGGCTGTGCCAATAGCTGCACATAGCCCAGTTCACTAACTATGTTACAGATAAACCAAGAGCTGAGTCTCGGAGCATGCATGCGCTGAGCATGGCTGTGCCAATAGCTGCACAAAGCCCAGTTCACTAACTATGTTACAGATAAACCAAGAGCTGAGTCTCAGAGCATGCATGCGCTGACCATGGCTGTGCCAATAGCTGCACAAAGCCCAGTTCACTAACTATGTTACAGATAAACCAAGAGCTGAGTCTCAGAGCATGCATGCGCTGACCATGGCTGTGCCAATAGCTGCACATAGCCCAGTTCACTAACTATGTTACAGATAAACCAAGAGCTGAGCCTCGGAGCATGCATGCGCTGACCATGGCTGTGCCAATAGCTGCACATAGCCCAGTTCACTAACTATGCTACAGATAAACCAAGAGCTGAGCCACGGAGCATGCATGGGCTGACCATGGCTGTGCCAATAGCTGCACAAAGCCCAGTTCACTAACTATGTTACAGATAAACCAAGAGCTGAGTCTCAGAGCATGCATGCGCTGACCATGGCTGTGCCAATAGCTGCACATAGCCCAGTTCACTAACTATGCTACAGATAAACCAAGAGCTGAGTCTCGGAGCATGCATGCGCTGACATGGCTGTGCCAATAGCTGCACAAGCCCAGTTCACTAACTATGCTACAGATAACCCAAGAGCTGAGCCTCGGAGCATGCATGCGCTGAGCATGCATGCGCTGAGCATGGCTGTGCCAATAGCTGCACAAAGCCCAGTTCACTAACTATGCTACAGATAAACCAAGAGCTGAGTCTCGGAGCATGCATGCGCTGAGCATGGCTGTGCCAATAGCTGCACAAAGCCCAGTTCACTAACTATGCTACAGATAAACCAAGAGCTGAGCCTCGGAGCATGCATGCTGACCATGGCTGTACCAATAACTGCACAAAGCCCAGTTCACTAACTATTATGTTAAGCAGATAAAACCAAGAGCTGAGTCTCGGAGCATGCATGCGCTGACCATGGCTGTGCCAATAGCTGCACATAGCCCAGTTCACTAACTATGCTACAGATAAACCAAGAGCTGAGTCTCGGAGCATGCATGCGCTGACCATGGCTGTGCCAATAGCTGCACATAGCCCAGTTCACTAACTATGTTACAGATAAACCAAGAGCTGAGTCTCGGAGCATGCATGCGCTGACCATGGCTGTGCCAATAGCTGCACATAGCCCAGTTCACTAACTATGCTACAGATAAACCAAGAGCTGAGTCTCGGAGCATGCATGCGCTGACCATGGCTGTGCCAATAGCTGCACAAAGCCCAGTTCACTAACTATGCTACAGATAAACCAAGAGCTGAGCCTCGGAGCATGCATGCGCTGACCATGGCTGTGCCAATAGCTGCACATAGCCCAGTTCACTAACTATGCTACAGATAAACCAAGAGCTGAGTCTCGGAGCATGCATGCGCTGACCATGGCTGTGCCAATAGCTGCACAAAGCCCAGTTCACTAACTATGCTACAGATAAACCAAGAGCTGAGCCTCGGAGCATGCATGCGCTGACCATGGCTGTGCCAATAGCTGCACAAAGCCCAGTTCACTAACTATGCTACAGATTAACCAAGAGCTGAGCCTCGGAGCATGCATGCGCTGACCATGGCTGTGCCAATAGCTGCACAAAGCCCAGTTCACTAACTATGTTACAGATAAACCAAGAGCTGAGCCTCGGAGCATGCATGCGCTGACCATGGCTGTGCCAATAGCTGCACATAGCCCAGTTCACTAACTATGCTACAGATAAACCAAGAGCTGAGTCTCAGAGCATGCATGCGCTGAGCATGGCTGTGCCAATAGCTGCACAAAGCCCAGTTCACTAACTATGCTACAGATAAACCAAGAGCTGAGCCTCGGAGCATGCATGCGCTGACCATGGCTGTGCCAATAGCTGCACAAAGCCCAGTTCACTAACTATGTTACAGATAAACCAAGAGCTGAGTCTCGGAGCATGCATGCGCTGACCATGGCTGTGCCAATAACTGCACATAGCCCAGTTCACTAACTATGTTACAGATAAACCAAGAGCTGAGCCTCGGAGCATGCATGCGCTGACCATGGCTGTGCCAATAGCTGCACATAGCCCAGTTCACTAACTATGCTACAGATAAACCAAGAGCTGAGTCTCGGAGCATGCATGCGCTGACCATGGCTGTGCCAATAGCTGCACATAGCCCAGTTCACTAACTATGTTACAGATAAACCAAGAGCTGAGTCTCGGAGCATGCATGCGCTGACCATGGCTGTGCCAATAGCTGCACAAAGCCCAGTTCACTAACTATGCTACAGATAAACCAAGAGCTGAGCCTCGGAGCATGCATGCGCTGACCATGGCTGTGCCAATAGCTGCACATAGCCCAGTTCACTAACTATGTTACAGATAAACCAAGAGCTGAGTCTCGGAGCATGCATGCGCTGACCATGGCTGTGCCAATAGCTGCACATAGCCCAGTTCACTAACTATGTTACAGATAAACCAAGAGCTGAGCCTCGGAGCATGCATGCGCTGACCATGGCTGTGCCAATAGCTGCACATAGCCCAGTTCACTAACTATGCTACAGATAAACCAAGAGCTGAGCCTCGGAGCATGCATGCGCTGACCATGGCTGTGCCAATAGCTGCACAAAGCCCAGTTCACTAACTATGTTACAGATAAACCAAGAGCTGAGTCTCAGAGCATGCATGCGCTGACCATGGCTGTGCCAATAGCTGCACATAGCCCAGTTCACTAACTATGCTACAGATAAACCAAGAGCTGAGTCTCAGAGCATGCATGCGCTGAGCATGGCTGTGCCAATAGCTGCACAAAGCCCAGTTCACTAACTATGTTACAGATAAACCAAGAGCTGAGTCTCAGAGCATGCATGCGCTGACCATGGCTGTGCCAATAACTGCACATAGCCCAGTTCACTAACTATGTTACAGATAAACCAAGAGCTGAGCCTCGGAGCATGCATGCGCTGACCATGGCTGTGCCAATAGCTGCACATAGCCCAGTTCACTAACTATGTTACAGATAAACCAAGAGCTGAGTCTCGGAGCATGCATGCGCTGACCATGGCTGTGCCAATAGCTGCACAAAGCCCAGTTCACTAACTATGTTACAGATAAACCAAGAGCTGAGTCTCGGAGCATGCATGCGCTGACCATGGCTGTGCCAATAGCTGCACATAGCCCAGTTCACTAACTATGTTACAGATAAACCAAGAGCTGAGTCTCGGAGCATGCATGCGCTGACCATGGCTGTGCCAATAGCTGCACATAGCCCAGTTCACTAACTATGCTACAGATAAACCAAGAGCTGAGTCTCGGAGCATGCATGCGCTGACCATGGCTGTGCCAATAGCTGCACATAGCCCAGTTCACTAACTATGCTACAGATAAACCAAGAGCTGAGCCTCGGAGCATGCATGCGCTGACCATGGCTGTGCCAATAGCTGCACATAGCCCAGTTCACTAACTATGCTACAGATAAACCAAGAGCTGAGTCTCGGAGCATGCATGCGCTGACCATGGCTGTGCCAATAGCTGCACATAGCCCAGTTCACTAACTATGCTACAGATTAACCAAGAGCTGCCATGGTATGGCTCCTATCACCCTTTAAGTGATAAGTGCAACTGATGTATGAGATAAACTACTCATCCCATACACCCCTGCAGGGATAATAGTTTATTCCTGGTGTGTGAAGCAGATCCACTAAACAGTGTACCAAGGGAAGCTGTAAAGGTGAGAAACTTTCCTGTGGATTCTTATTTAATTATTTTTACTTTTTAATGCATTGTCTTTATAGAGCATTAAAAATAGGTGGTATTTTTTACCTTTAAACTAGCATCACAAGACAAAAAAAGCAACAAAAAAAACAAAACTGCTTTAACTACCCATTAGTATTAAAATAAATCTATTGTTACCCTCTAGCCAATGGCTAGTGAAAATTCAGCCCTGGTGAACAGAGCAGGATTAACCTTAGGTTGACCTTAGGCAGCTGTCTAGGGCCCAGAGTTTAGACAGGGGTCTTTGAACCAAGAATCTGCTTAGCCCCATTCACCAGCCCTATGCAACAAATGAAGAGGGAACCCCAAACTGGTCACTTACTTAGGGCCTAGTGGGATCTTAATCCTTCTCTGCTGGTGAGTATGTAATTTACCCTCCAGTGGTGAGTAAGGTTTTAGGCCTTGCTAGTAGCATGGGATTTAAAATGTTAAGCACGGTTAGGACTAATATTACCTTGCTCAGAGTGTCAGCCAATTCTTCTGTTTTATAACTTTTGTAGACCTTTGCTAGCAACAGCAGACATTTAACATCTTTCATCATTGATGCCAAGTCAGTAACTGAAAAGAAACAATAAACACTTTATTTTCTAAATTGACATTTCATTTGAGTGGCACAGAGATTATGCCAGTGTCCCATTGGATGTAGACTCTACACAACCAAACATAATCTGCAATGCAGTTTAAACCGCAGCATATCTCAGAAAAAAAAAAAATCAATTTCTTTGCAGAGTTTCGGAGCGATCCAATAGCAGAGTATAAAATGCAGCATTGATCATATTTCCATGCAGCCTGAAACAGTCACACATTTCAGTATAATATGTTTTATGACCAGCTCAATTCGTTACATGTATTACATTGTTACATTTTGCATTATTTTCTACAATTATATTTTATAAAGCTTATAATACAATAAAGCTGCCCTATCTCCTAAAACAACAATATAAAATGAAGAAACTTGTTTTACAAGCACATTGCCTTAAACATTTTTAATTCCTGTGCCATAAATGACCCTTTCAGAAAGCAGCCTTGTGCATTCTAGTAAGAATTAGGATATAAAGCAGGCACTTCATTCTCTAAAAGCTTTAAAGCAAAAATCAGAATTCGTTCTTATTTGAATAATGAAATGAAATGATTAAATATTTACAGTTGAGAAAAATGAATTTGTAAAAAACACACATAAATTGCACGAGGAAAGATCACATTCCTCACCTTTTATATATGTTAAAACAAATTAGTCAAAAGTTTTAGCAAGCAACAAAAATAATATTAAATCGCAGTCAACACCTAGAAAGCTTTTAAAATTATTTATTTTCCGAATATACTTGCATTTCAAGAGATCGCAAATGAGGTAAATGGGAGCAGTTTATATGCCATTTAGAACGTACCTGACTCGTGATCCAGAGCGTGTTTCAGAACCTTTTCTGCCTTGTTATAGTTCTTCAATTTACAGAGGAGATCTGCGAGGTCACAGCACAGTAAATCCTGCCCGCTGATATTCTGCGCAGCCTCATAGTAATTAATTGCCTAAAAGACATTTCAAAACAATTAGCGCTGAGATAAACAATAACAGACTATTTCAGGAGCTCTGTGTAACGCACAGAGGACCTGTTCAAACCTCAGGGTCACAGGTACTATTCTAGGTGAGGTCAGTATGACTACTAACGACCTATGCTATAATATATCCCCAGGAGAAACATGGAAAAGAGAACTGATCTTCTGAACTGGACTTCCTCTCAACACTTCCCCTTTACGAGCTGAAGTGCAGGGTGTTTTCAACCACCAATGACAGTAATATCCAAGGCATACGCTAGCCAAAATGTACTAAATGTAGCCAGTGGTGGTATTCATATTCCCATTTCTATAGTATTCTAACATTTAAATTTCTGATTGCCTATGTTTATTTGAACCCACATTTTCTGTCTGTTTCGCTCGGTGTACTAAGAGCAGATTGGTCGCTATAGAGATGGCAATATTTTGCAGGAGTGCACACTATTCACACATGACAAACACATACACAATACACCAGTCAATTGGTGGTTATTTAAGAGGAAGTCCGAGTAAAAGAAAAAAACAAAAAAAAAACGAGTTATGTAAAAACCTTTTTATACTGATGTGTTTTGACAAGTGCTTGTCCAATTCTGCTAGCTAATGAGGCTTCACTGGGATTTTTCCGCTGTGCTTGATCGTAAACTTCCAAGGCTTTATCGGGCTGTTATTAAAAGAGAGATTAATTATAACTTTTTCCTTTTTCATGTAAAGTAAATCAAAAACTGACCATACACCTGTCTGTACTAAATTTCTTTGAAATACAGTCAGCTGTTTAAGAAAATCTTGAGAAAGGATAGAATGTAAACGAAGATAATAAACTAAGATGCCGTAATCACATTTCATTCCAAACACATTTTCATATATATTTTCCAAGCAATTGCACAGATTCACTTCCCTGGGATCCATTGTCCAGTATAGAATAACCTCAAAACCCCAGATCTTTGCTAACTTAATTTCCCGTCATGCCTTAAGGCTGGCAAAATATCACGGGAAAAGTCATTCAGGTCCAGTTGGCAGTCAGTGTATTTTGTGTTCAGAAGATCTGAAAGCTAGGTTTAAACTTTCTAGACCTAGTGACTATTTAACGATCTCTGGAAATCCTTATTAAATCTAATCTATTAAAACTGTGGTCACTATTGTTACATATGCTATGGTATTTGATAACAATGACAAAATGGAAGAGAAGTCTTGCTCCATAGTTACCTCTTGGATGTTCATGTAGGCATCTCCCAGAAGAAGACTGGTGTGAGGGCCTGGAAGTTGTTCACATAGCTCTCTGTGACAGGGACAATAATAGTATTAATGTGTACAATGAGTCAGTAAGGCTTCTACTTCCATACTTCCTCATCTTTGTATAAGATCACGATGAGGATACAGCATGGCCATCCTATCACCTCGCATGTTTGTTAATTCCATTTCCCATGATGCTCAGTCAACCTGTGGCATCCCCAAGGACTGCTTGGGATCACAGCAAATGCAGATCACAAACATCTGGAGTGCCAAGGTTTGCCATCACTGGCTAGAGAGAACCAATAGATTGTATATAAAATAAATACGTCAGGGCTGTAATAAGTGGCTCATTGTTAGCTGTTTGCAATGTTCATTTTATCTAATACAACCCCGAGGTATGTATCTTTATAAATACCCCTGATTATATAAGTAATATGCTCACCCGAGGTGGCAGAGAATTATTCAATAAACTGGTAACTATGGACAACTGGCAGAGGAATAGCCAATTCTAGCAAAAAATATTCAACTTGGAAAACATGTTACAACTACATTTCTAGTTCAGCTAGTCTGGCCTCAATCTTGGTCTCTATTTTAAGATTAACCTCCGAGGAAGTCATAAAATTACAACTCCCATGCTGCTTTGCTTGTATTTGGCTATGTACAATCTTGCTCAGAATCAAGGGAGGGATAGTTGAGGAATAGCTGCATAGTTAGCCATGTATGGGCCTTTTCACACACAGGGTTAGTCACTAAAGTGAGAATTTAGAAATTAAACATTTAAGGCCTCAGTAGTCCAATTGGAAGCAATGCTGGCTTACACAATGTTTCCTGATTGGCTATTAGGACTTTAAATGTGAAATTAATTTTGAATTCTCACTTTAGTATATAACGCTGTTATACTGGGGACTGGGTAAGAATGATGCGTGAATGGCAGATTTTATTCCAAAATAGCAAAAAAAAAGAGAGAAATAAAATTGCCATTCCCTTGTCAGTTCTTCACAGTTCCTGGTGTATTGGAGAGCCCAGTCCTCGTGAGTGCAGGAGCAAAACAGATACAAAACATTGTTACCATTCTAACATCATCTCTCACACACTATAGGCACCGTAACTGCTTCAGCTCACCTAACTGGTTATGGTGTTTGGAGTCCCTGGTGTCATCCTTCCATTCAGCGTTAAATTGTTTGTAATATGTTAATGCTCAATAAGCTGCTTGGGCTAAAGAAGAAGTATTAGCCTGAGCAGCAATGGACGGCTGTGATTGGCTGAGAGTATTAACTGATGGCTTTCAGCCTATCGCAGTGCCCATTGCTGGTATAAAGTAATATGGCTACAAGGAAGTGTCTTATCATTACCTCCACTAGGGGCTGGGTGGTGGGTGGCCAAAGACCCTCATTCTGTATTAAACTGCTTGTAAATGGTTTAACACTGAATGGAGGGACAGCCCACGGGAACTCCATGTACTACAACCAATTCACTGAGATGAAATAGTTATAGTGCCTACAGTGTCCCTTTCAGTGAGTGATTAAGAATTGGTAGCAGGCATTTCTGGGCACGCAACAACCATGGAGAATGCTCACATTTCATTCATTGTGATGTCTGTGTTCTGTGTGGGGTCCCACAATGCACTAGGGTATGCCGAATATGTTCCTGTCATTAGAACCTTACCTAAAGCAGGCAATGTATAACCTCTTATCCTTGCGTGTGTCAAGATATAGCTCAGCCATCTTCTGTTTGACCTGGATGTAATATGGCTGGTCTGGTGTGATCTCCCTCAGCATATTCAAGGCAATGTCTGCGCCACCTTTACTCAGTGCCAAGTCTGCGTTCGCAATAACTATTCGAACTGCCTCGGGAGTGCCGCGGAATTCGTTGATGGCATCTTGCATTACCTTTGTGGCTTCATGCTGGAATGGAAAATCAATAATCAATATAGATTGCAGGCAATATAATAATGGGTAAAACTGCTTCTATTGATTCTTTTTAATTAAAGGGACAGGCGGAGGTACTCTCTGCTTTATTTTAATACATTTTAGGAAGAGAAGTAGGGCTACTCTGTATATACTACTATAATACTCTGTATTATAACACCTGGAAATGTAGACAACAGAAGCTGGTTTTACTTATAGAGTGCCTACTAAAGGAGGAAACCTGTCTCACTTTAAGCTTTAGATGCCAAGGTGCTTTAGGATAGTTCTTAAAAGATATCAGTGGATAATGTATTTTTATCACCAAATATTAACCCATGTGGAATATAAACCGCCTGTATGCTTTGTTAAACTGAATTGTGTTTTACAGCACGTTTTCCTTTTCTCCGTGAAATTACCCCGTGGTTGTTTACCTGTTCGTTGTTAAGCCGAAGAGTTTCGGCAAGCTCCAGATATATAGAGACGCGTTCACTGACACTAAGCGCGAAAGGCGTGCCTCTTTTAACTGCGCCTTTCTTCATTTCAGGGAGCTTCATTGTCATTTGCAAAGTTTTTATGGCTTCACCCAGCTCTCCTTTCTTTTTCAATATTCTAGCTTTCATTAAATGGTACAATGGATGTTCCCGAACCTAAAAAAGTAACAAATACAAGTTAAATTGTAAAAATCAAGCGAAGTAAAAAAATAAGCAAAACTGCAACCTACTGTAAGGCTTGGGCCTCGGTCAGGCGCTTAAAAAGTTTAACCTATTTTAAAAACAACTTTCCAAAACCGGGCTTACATTTCCCAGGATCACATGAAATATTTTGTGTTTTAATGATGTTTTCTGATATAAATCAGTGTAATCACAGTAAACTCTCTATTTTTTCCATTATTAAAAAATATTTCTGATAAGCTAACTACTTGTACAACAGAAGCTTGTGGTACAAACAACACCTCACCTAAAGAGAAACTGCCAAGTGTGAGATCGGAATATCTTTCTTATCGAGTATGATGAATGTAACAATTCCAAACTGTCACCCAGGTACCATAATAAAAGAAACTAGTGTTCAATGCATCCCTTGTGGAGAATTAATTCATAGGACAAGTACAAACCTCACTGGTTCATTTTATAATCTTTCACAGTTTGTTCAGAAAAATCACGTTCTCATTTAATTTGATGTAGAATAAATGTTGTAGCATTTGTCATTTACATCCTCATTTAAAAAGTAACTGTGTGTGATTTTACAGCATGCCCACTGCACTGTGTATGATGCTATTGTCATTGTCCTGGAGGTTCATTCTGACACCAGAACATTTACCTGAAAGTTGTGACTGACACCGGTCTCCAGAGACTGCGAGCACTCTGTAAACAGGCCCTGTGCAAAGTATATCTGCGCCATCAGGAGATGCACGTCGGCAGAGCTGGAGTCCACTTCTATACAACGCTGCAAGTTTGCCTGAGCTCCTTCCAGGTTCTCTAAAGTAAAGACAGGAGTTCAGCTTTAAAGTAGAAATAAGATAAAAGCCTGGCATGTGGCTTGGATCGATGATCCTGGAAATGGCAGAATAAGATGCTGATAAAACTCCCTCCCTGTCTCTCCACAAACACACTACAGTATGCTTGGTACTATAAAGACATTATGGAGTCAGAGAGGGCCAAAGAGCCTCTAAGGCTTGTGATAGTGACCCATCTCCTGAATTGATAGTCTGTGGCATTAGAATAAAGGAATTCATCGGAAGCTTGATTGATGGACTTTTGTTAAGCTACATCGAGCGGTAGCATAGCACAACGTAGGGCTCGTGTTTGTAAATGTCTTTTAGCAAGAGCACCTCTATAGGATTTAACCTGTGCCTCCCGCAGCCTGTGTATGTGCTACATTGTGTTGAACAAGAGATTTATTTATTGTCATCATTATTTACCCAAAGGTAAACTTCTCATTTCCGTATTATGCACTAGTTGTGTTTCAATGCAACTCTTCATGCCCAGCTTTACAGATGTGATCATTTTGTACTTTTTACGAGCATCAGTAATAGCCCGAAGTGTATCACGATTGCTCAGTGCTTTGCTCTGTTTGAAATAGCATGTCAATGAAACTGCTATGGTTGTCATATTAGAGGATAAATAAAACACATAATTAGTGTAGATGGTGCTCACTGACTGACCAGTAGAGGGCATGAGTCTCCTTAATTTATGAGTTTCGGTCGGATCACTAGAACCAACCTTTAGAACACAGGAACATTTCTGCTGTAGCCAGCAGAGGGAGCGATTCATTTACGATATTTCATATTTTTGCTTTTAAAAAACTGTGACACCAGATCAGAGTGCCTCTTTAGTTTGAAGCAGTCGTCTGCCTCTTACCTGCTAAGTACTTGGTTTGAGCCATATAATACAGAGGTTCCCTCAGAGCTGGGGCTGAGCTGAGCACAGGTGTCAAAATGGATATGATCTGCTTAAGCAGAGGGGACACCGGCTGACCTGGGGATTTGGGCTGCGATGGAGAAAAAAAATACATTAATTAAAGGTTATATATGGATATATTTAGTGACAGCAAAGTAAACATGTATTAAAATGATTTGTTTTTGTAATAATAAAATATTGATAATGTACTGGTACTCTATACATGGAGTATGCTGCATTCTCTACGTTGGATTTGTTGGTAGAGCAGCATCTATAATATAATGGAGTCATACCTCTTTCGGACATAATGCCAAATATTCTTTCACCACTTTAACGATGAAGCCGGGGTTTAGTTTCTGAAAGTATTCCGTGCCTAGAGGCAGTCCTTGAATTGCAGAAAAGTGGCTCTGTAAGGCTTCCTTAAGGAGCTCTGTGATTACCTTTTCTCCCATGTCTTTCTTGGAAGCCATGACTGCTTCAACATAGCACATCTCCTAAATCCAGGAACAGAAAGTAAAGAAACAAGTCACAAAGCTAATCAACGCCAACGGTAATCAGCAAATCCAGAGAAATCTTTTTTCTTGGGCATAGGGAACCCACTATGGCCGATAAACACAGCATGAAACGTCACCCTTACAACAACCCGCTATTGAAAAGTGCATCGAGCACTCTTACTGGTGTTCTCCATTAATTAGCTTGCGGTGATGCTGTGATTACTGTCAGTGAGAGGGAATTGCTGCTCAAGGTGTAGATCTACACAGATACATATCAATAACGGGATTAAAGGTTAAAACAGGTTGGGCTTGTTTACATGCTTATTGGTAAAAGGCAGCCAATAAGCATCAACAATACCTACACCCAGTATGTGGTTAAAAAATTGGCAACATGTTTCCATGTCTCCCCCACCATGTAATGTCTGAATCCACAGATATTGACCACCATTTACTGTTCACTGTTTTGCAAATTGTGAATGTCTAGAAAAGACACATAACATTATTTTTTTTTACATTTCCAATTTATTTAATGCGCGCTTCACCTGAGATTGTTTTAGCAAGTTACCCTTAAGGGTTCATTCAATTAAATTATAGCAAATATAGCAAAATAAAAGCAAATTATAGTGACCCTAAAACTGAATTGTCAAACTCTGGCAAAAAAATTCTATTGCCACAGCTAGGTTGTTTTATCCTACATTTAGCAATTCAGTGATTAATTCACTATGATATTTACTGAAAAACACATATGAATAATTGCTGTAATATACACGAAACACATTAATGATCCAATCTCCCAACTGCCCCATGGGTGGTCAAACCTCCCAACTGCCCCATGGGTGGTCAAACCTCCCAACTGCCCCAGGGGTGGTCAAACCTCCCAACGGCCCCAGGGGTGGTCAAACCTCCCAACTGCCCCAGGGATGGTCAAACCTCCCAACTGCCCCAGGGATGGTCAAACCTCCCAACTGCCCCAGGGATGGTCAAACCTCCCAACTGCCCCAGGGATGGTCAAACCTCCCAACTGCCCCATGGGTGGTCAAACCTCCCAACTGCCCCAGGGGTGGTCAAACCTCCCAACTGCCCCAGGGGTGGTCAAACCTCCCAACTGCCCCAGGGATGGTCAAACCTCCCAACTGCCCCAGGGATGGTCAAACCTCCCAACTGCCCCATGGGTGGTCAAACCTCCCAACTGCCCCATGGGTGGTCAAACCTCCCAACTGCCCCAGGGATGGTCAAACCTCCCAACTGCCCCAGGGATGGTCAAACCTCCCAACTGCCCCAGGGATGGTCAAACCTCCCAACTGCCCCAGGGATGGTCAAACCTCCCAACTGCCCCAGGGGTGGTCAAAGCTCCCAACTGCCTCAGGGGCGGTCCAATTTTGCATAAGAGGAAAAGTGTTCCGTTACTCAACCTTTGTTCTTCCTATAGATTGTTGAATTTCACGGAGGAAGTCGAGTTGCAATGTGGCCTCTTCCAGTTGGTCTTGTAATATCTGACACCATATAACACCTACATGAGATAAAATATTCTCAGTTCCAGAGACGCAAAGTGACTTGTTATCTGCATTACCCCCCCCCCTTTAATTTCTGCAGAACGCACAGACACAGGAGTATAAAAAAAGCATTAAAGAAAAGATTGACAACGTCACAGATTGGGGCACCTACAGATGGCCCTAAGAAGGCTGCACTCATTAGCCACATACATTTTTTCATTAAATATTAGTCTTTTTCTCTTTAGTCTAGTTGAGATTTTGGTTTACATACAGTCAACTCATTCTTGAAGCCCATATCCTAATTCAGATATGCCATAGGAGGAACCTGGAAAACTAAGCTACAATTCCCAGACAACACTCTTGTGCCCATGAGGCTCTGCAGTGCAGGGATTTCTGAGATAAACTCAGCACAGACACAGCCATAGCATAAAAATCGGAAGAGTCTCGTTTAGGTACTTACCTATTAGAGCTTCAGTGTGACCTCCATCCACCTTCACAGCAGTGGAATACCAGTCAGCTGCTTCTTTCACGTTGCCCTGACACATGAGCTGATTGGCCAGCTCAGTGGCGAGCTCTGCGTGGGTGGGAGCCATTCGGAATGCACGCTCAGTAAATGCAGTGATCTGCTGTAGAATTTCTTGGTGCCTACCACACTAAAAAGAAGGCGTGTTAAGAAAATAAATGTATATTTACAGACATCTAAATACTTTCAGGTTGCACTCTGTAGCAGTTTAGAGCTACTAGGAATCTGTCAATCACAAACTGGTAGGAGAATGTCAAAAGAAGATGGATAACAGATTAATAACTTTTCCTGTTTGATTCAACCGCCTGGGAAAATCTCAAACACATTTCAGCTTATTCTATCTTTAGATTAACATAGAGCAGAAACACACCAAGCCCTGCTTCTGTCTATCTATGAATTAATAAAGTGTATAAAGAGAATGGGCCCTACTTCTACCCAGCTATGGATTTATATATGGTAAAAACAGGTTGAGCCCTGCTTCTATCTATCTATGGATTTATATAGTGTATAAACAGAGCGAGCCCTGCTTCTATCAATCTATGGATTTATATAGTGTATAAACAGAGCGAGCCCTGCTTCTATCTATCTATGGATTTATATAGTGTATAAACAGAGCGAGCCCTGCTTCTATCTATCTATGGATTTATATAGTGTATAAACAGAGCGAGCCCTGCTTCTATCTATCTATGGATTTATATAGTGTATAAACAGAGCGAGCCCTGCTTCTATCTATCTATGGATTTATATAGTGTATAAACAGAGCGAGCCCTGCTTCTATCTATAGATTTATATAGTGTATAAACAGAGCGAGCCCTGCTTCTATCCATCTATGGATTTATATAGTGTATAAACAGAGCGAGCCCTGCTTCTATCCATCTATGGATTTATATAGTGTATAAACAGAGCGAGCCCTGCTTCTATGGATTTATATAGTGTACAAACAGAGCGAGCCCTGCTTCTATCTATCTATGGATTTATATAGTGTATAAACAGAGCGAGCCCTGCTTCTATCTATCTATGGATTTATATAGTGTATAAACAGAGTGAGCCCTGCTTCTATCTATAGATTTATATAGTGCATAAACAGAGCGAGCCCTGCTTCTATCTATCTATGGATTTATATAGTGTATAAACAGAGCGAGCCCTGCTTCTATCTATCTATGGATTTAAATAGTGTATAAACAGAGCGAGCCCTGCTTCTATCTATCTATGGATTTATATAGTTTATAAACAGAGCGAGCCCTGCTTCTATCTATCTATGGATTTATATAGTGTATAAACAGAGCGAGTCCTGCTTCTATCTATCTATGGATTTATATAGTGTATAAACAGAGCGAGCCCTGCTTCTATCTATCTATCTATGGATTTATACAGTGTATAAACAGAGCGAGTGCTGCTTCTATCTATATAGTGTATTTTATATAGTGTATAAACAGAGCGAGCCCTGCTTCTATCTATGGATTTATATAGTGTATAAACAGAGCGAGCGCTTCTATCTATGGATTTATATAGTGTATAAACAGTGAGTCCTGCTTCTATCTATGGATTTATATAGTGTATAAACAGAGCTAGCCCTGCTTCTATCTATGGATTTATATAGTGTATAAACAGAGCGAGTCCTGTTTCTATCTATGGATTTATATAGTGTATAAACAGAGCGAGCCTTGCTTCTATCTATGGATTTATATAGTGTATAAACAGAGCAAGCCCTGCTTCTATCTATGGATTTATATAGAGTATAAACAGAGCGAGTCCTGCTTCTATCTATCTATGGATTTTTATATAGTGAATAAACAGAGCGAACCCTGCTTCTATTGATCTATAGATTTATATAGTGTATAAACAGAGCGAGTCCTGCTTCTATCTATCTATGGATTTATATAGTTTATAAACAGAGTGAGCCCTGCTTCTATCTATCTATGGATTTATATAGTGTATAAACAGAGCGAGCCCTGCTTCTATCTATGGATTTATATAGAGTATAAACAGAGTCCTGCTTCTATTTATCTATAGATTCATATAGCGTATAGAAAAAGTAAGGCCTGCTTCTATTTACATACGGATTAATATGGAGCATAAAAATGGAAAAACAAAATACAGATAAAAAATGAAAGCCATGTCTTTAATTTCTCCTAAATTGTATTATTGCACTCAGTTGTTCTGATACCTAAAAGCACAGCGTTCCAGAGCAGCACAGCATGGGAACCGACCACCTCTTTTCACCTTCTCCAATCCCTTGATCTGGGTTTGCCATTACACACAAACCCGTTCCATAAGTATATTATAGTGGTGCCACCTATAAGGGCACTATAGATGTTGGAAGCCGGGCAAGGCTCCATTGCACGTTGAATGAAAAGTGCAAGAACTCTGGCTCCATTAAGCTGGTCTACAATGCAATGGAAACATGTCCAGCAATACTGAATCAGATATCCTGTTCGGACACACACACACAGCTGACGACATGAATAAATGTTGGTGTTAGATGTGCGGCCACAATAAATGGATGATCTGAATGGAGAAGGATTGCTTGACATTTTTTGTTTTGTTTGTCCAGCTGCCAATGTGCAGATCATAATTACTGTCAGCACCTGCTGATTAAGCTGAAATCTTTTTGTGGATTGGAGAGGGTAGAAATTCTCTCAAGGGATAGGAACGGTTTTGTTGTCATTCCAAACCAGCCAACTTATTTCACAGGCTATCTGAAAACAGTGTGATTTCTTGCTTTATTTTAATTCTACAGGATTGTGTGATTACAGGTGTATGTGCTGGCTCCCAGTCAGAGACTGGACAGAACTCCAGGTGCTGAGCTTTATTCTACATCAAATTCACTTTGGTAACGTGTGAAACAGAGTGTCTGTGTCTCTCAGTTTGCCAATTTTTGTTAAGGAAAGTAAGCATTTATATTCAATGAAAACATGGACAGCAAATTATAGAGAAAATCAAAAGTAAGAATTCTTACCAAAGTGCTAATTACTAGGATTTTCTCATAATGCAGTACTGGGTTTCGTGGCTCTACAGAATCCAAAGAAATGAGTAAGTCCTTCACATGGGTTAATGCCTGTAAGGGAAGTTAGGGAACGGTTACTGATCGATAATGTGTACTTATGTCAATGCCATTTTGGTGTATAATGTAGATCCAGCATTATTTTAAAGATGGAAAAAAACACAACGAGGGAACCGGCTGGTAATCTAAATAAAAATAAATAAAGGAAAATATAGTGTAATACAGTTTACAATACAAACACTGCGCAATATAAAATGCAGCCTAGGCTGTTTTTTTGATTGTATTGCATCAAATTGTATTTTAATATTGTGGTCCCTTAGGAAGTCCCTATTTAGTTAAAGGGACGAAACGCGTAGGACCTTATTTATATTTATTTTTATATTTTTTAATATTGAATAAAAGACGCTTTTCCAAACTTCACCCGGAGTCCTGTGTTGGAGTGAAAATATCCAGGGGATTTCCCCAGGCCCCCCATATTATCGGGGGAGGCACCTTACAAGCTTGAATTTGTTCAAAATCCTGTGAGTGCATTTTATATTGTTAGTGCAGTGTTTGTATTGTAAACTGTATTACACTATATTTTCCTTTATTTATTTTTATTTAGATTACCAGCCGGTTCCCTCGTTGTGTTTTTTTCCATATTTTGTTGTCAAGCTGATCGCTAGCTGGGAGCGGTCTGAGGGAGGCTGTATTCATCTACATTTGATAAGTATCTTTGCATATATATTGTATGTGTACAATATAAGGTACATTATTGTTGGTTGTTTTTTTTGGTTTATTATTTTAAAGATGTATCACAAAGTATTGTCTCTGCAACGTGCCTCTAATACAAACCCCTATAGTGTGCTTTAATAATGGAATATGCTAAATATACTCACTTTTTCTAAATTTCCTTCTCTGGCAAGGCAATAAATGCAGAGAATCTGGAGAGCGTCAATATTAGTGGAATCTTTAGATAAGATTCTGAAATAAAAATGATATCAGCGATATTTTTCTAAATAATAATATGGTAAGAGCCACAGTGATAGTAAAGCTAATGATAAACATAATAGTGGCCATTATAATATTGAATAATAAGCAGAACATTTAATAATAATAATAATAATGATAGTAATATGAATAATAGAAATAATAAGCAAGACATTTAATAATAATAATAATAATAATAATAGTAATGATAGTAATATGAATAATAGAAATAATAAGCAGAACATTTAATAATAATAGCAGTAATAGTAATGATAGTAATATGCATAATAAGCAGAACATTTAATAATAGAAGGTGGGGAGGGTAATATAGCGTTTGGAATGCGATCTGGAAAGGTATTAAGGTTGGAAGTAGCTGAGAGGAGAATTGGGAAAAAAATTGTGTATAGTGTTGGGAGAGAAACAGGTTTGGGAGGAATGAGGTAAAATGGATATGATGATAAAAATCATTCTGCTATTACCATCATCTCCCTCGCAGTCAGTCATTCTTATTAAGTTTGCACTAATTATAAAACAGATTACAAACCTTTAAAATGCAACAAAATGGGCAACTAAGGTCAGATGTATGCTGGGAAATACAATGTACATCGAGAACCAGGTAAAGATTTAGGTAGAAACATCTTTAAAATACTGGTGTACATGCTTAACGTTTTTTATATATATTAAAGATGTTATGTGTGTAATGAGTCTATTTGAGCAAAGCAGAAAGTTATATGTGCAAGCAATGAATGCCCTTACCTCTGTGCCATTTCCAGGGTTTGATCCCATTATATGTGCAAGCAGTGAATGCCCTTACCGCTGTGCCATTTCCAGGGTTTGATCCTATTATATGTGCAAGCAGTGAATGTCCTTACCTCTGTGCCATTTCCAGGGTTTGATCCCATTATATGTGCAAGCAGTGGATGTCCTTACCGCTGTGCCATTTCCAGGGTTTGATCCCATTATATGTGCAAGCAGTGAATGTCCTTACCGCTGTGCCATTTCCAGGGTTTGATCCCATTATATGTGCAAGCAGTGAATGCCCTTACCTCTGTGCCATTTCCAGGGTTTGATCCCATTATATGTGCAAGCAATGAATGCCCTTACCTCTGTGCCATTTCCAGGGTTTGATCCCATTATATGTGCAAGCAGTGAATGCCCTTACCTCTGTGCCATTTCCAGGGTTTGATCCCATTATATGTGCAAGCAGTGAATGCCCTTACCTCTGTGCCATTTCCAGGGTTTTATCCCATTATATGTGCAAGCAGTGAATGCCCTTACCTCTGTGCCATTTCCAGGGTTTGATCCCAGTCTTGCTGAGCCAAGGATAACTTCATTTTGAGAGTATGTGCTGGGATGAAGTGAGGGAAATTCACGATGATTTGATTAACCAGTCCCAGGGCTTCTGAATAATTCTGTTGCATTGTAAAACATGTGGCCTGCAGAGAGAACATTACACTGTATGATCTATCTTTTTCATCAGAAAACAGCCATCTGAAGAAGATATAAATATATAACAAAGTACTTGGGAAGGACTGATTATTACAGAGAGGTTAAAGGTGGCATAAACAAAGTATTTTTCTTTCAATGTTGGTTGGGCTACCGAAGACCAACATCAAAACAATCAACATTTAAAACAATTATTTGCCACAGATATCAGAAGCCTCCCACCAACAATGCTAAAGATATGGAATAGTGGTTAATTACCGGCTAGGATGCTGCAGACGTTTAGAGAACGGTTTCACATTCCCAAATTATGAGTAGGGGAAAATAGGTCTACCTCATTTTCTCAAGAGATCACAAGGTCTTTTCACACATATTACAGCTCTTTCTAATCTGGCACCCATCGTGACAATGGAGGATCAAGCTTGTCAAGAGGCAGAGATTCACAATTACCCGATCGATAAGATTTAGAAGGAATTACCCCCAGACACAGCTTAGTATTATAGTCAGAGTTTACAAGAGGCAATAAAATCCACCAAGACAGTAAGGGCACCAGGTCCAGATGGTCTTTCGTGATAACACTACAAGATCTTTAGTGATATCTTATCGCGACACCTGATGAGAATGTTCATTTTAATCCTAGATCAGGAATCGTTTTCACGAGATACACCAACTGCACATATAACCATGCTGCACAAAAATTAAAAAAATAAATAAATAAAATAAAAGACCCTGAGGCTTGTTTAAGCTACAGGCCTAACTCTCAGTTAAATGCTCAGTTATTCTGCGGGATTTCAGCCAGATTGCCCGCCTGGCAACTGATGATAAACCCATGGTCCCGCTGACAGTTTTGGAAACTCTTCTGTCATGCCACATAAAAAGTAATCATTTTTTGCCATTCTGATGTTTTAGCAGATGGTTCAATTTTTTGTCTTTTCCTTTTAGGAGACAATCCTCCAAAGAGAGTAATCATAAACTCTGACACTCCTGCAATGCTGTCTACACTCTGGATGGCTGCTGCTTGAAAGGTTCTCTTGCAGGAAGTCTCTGCTCGCTAGTCTATTGGATTCTGGAGGCCAGACAGTAACAATGGGAATGGTGTTTTTTTGGATAACTGTGTGACCTGCACATCTACCTTGGGCAATTCTTCACAGTTTTCCAAATCTTGTAATTTGTAAATATGTTTGACATGTTAAGAAATAAAGGCATTTTTCTCTGGGTTTTTCCATTCTAGATTGACATGACTCAAGAATCTTGGATGTACTAAAAAGCCTTTCCCTTACTTCTGCAGCATCTCTCCTTCCTGTATGACAGCCACCACTTCTTTAACAAATGTGTTTAATTCCTCCACTGGAAAAACTGAATCAGGTATAGATTCTTGGCTAGAGACTTCTGACCAAGAGTAATGGCAGCATTCACCAGACGACAAATGAGAAGATGATGAAGACCTCTCTGTCTTTGCCTTCCTTTACTAGATCTGTAGAATCTCTAGATTTAACTGCTGTTTCCTTATATATCTCGAAGGTTTGGGAGAGATTCTCCTGGAACAAGTTGAGAAACGTATGCATCTTCATTTGTTTAGCCTTCTTCAAAGGCTTCTGCCGAGCACTGGTTACATATCTTTTTCTTACAGTTAGCCGGCAGACTGGTGGCACATTTGCTACAAGCTAGATGCTTAGTTTTGCAAGAGTGCAAGCTTGACAAAGGCCCTGTTGTGGGCCAAAACGTTGTTTCGATTCTGCTGCAATAAATCTGCCCACTGGATTAAACTTGAGTGCCTGGACCATCATAACATTTTTGCAAATCAGATTGTGAGGACTGGCCAACCTCAGGCCAGGTTGCACCCTGGGATCCAGGAGAGTATGTTATCCATATTGGTAATTATAGTTTTGCAAGAGTAACAAAACTGGAGCAGTAGTAACAAGTTTGTCTGGTTTATCAATCTTATCTGGGGAGACAGGACTAGACATCTGTAAAACATAATGAAGAAACTCTATGAGGACTATGTAAAAATAGAAAGGGAATACTCCTCACCTTAAAGCGGCACTGTCATGCCGAACTTACCTTTCCTCAATCTCTTCCTCTTCTCCCCCTCTCTCAGGATCTGTTATTCTTTTCTTCCTGTCTTCTTTAGTTTTCTTTAAAATCATAAGACAAAGTAGGGACTCTTTGCCTTATGGAGGTTTCCTCCGCTTGACCAGCTCTGACCAGCGGAGGAGCAAAGTGTGCTTCATTTCCGCTGGTCAGAGCAATTTTCCCATGATCCCTAGCTTTCCCCAGTGTTCCCACAATGCTTCCTTTCACTTTACAGAAAACTGCCGAATTGCGTTCTAACTGAATGACAACAGTATGTTCGTTTGTTTTAGAACGCAATTCGGCACTTTATTCGGATCGCAATTTCATTCTAATTAATGAAACTCTGATCCTATTCATTGCCGCGTCTGCATCTTGCAGCCGCTTAGTAGATAACTCCCTAATTCCCACGGTATCAGGGAGTTATCTACTAAAAGGCTGAAAGACCTCAATTGGTCTTTCAGCCACATTTACTAATACTAAGTAAAAATTACTTAGTATTAGTAAATTAAATGCCCCTACTCGCTATATCGCGAGTAGGGGCATGTGTAGTAAGCAGTGAGCAGCGTATAGCTGCTCACTGTAAAAATAATACCCCCCCGGGTATTACAATAACTAACCTGTAAAAAAAAAAAAAAAACAGGCTGCTCACTGTTTAGTAGACATGCCCCTACGCGGTATAGCGAGTAGGGGCATTTGGGAGATTTTAAGCTCCCTTGTGCTATTATGGGGGTCATATTGACCCCCATAGAGTGAGAGGGGGACCTGGGGGGGGGGGCTTATGAAGTGGTGGGGAGCACTGCTCCCTGCCGCTTCTATAGTTACATATTACAAGGAGGGAGCTGCGTGCCGGTAGCTCCCTCCTTGTAATAAACTGAACGAACAAACACACACTGATACATTGTGTTTGTTTGTTTGGCTGATCTTTCTATTCATTCATTCGTCTGTCTGATGAATGAATGGATGAAATTCCCGTTCGCATGTCCAGGTGTTTCACTGGGCATGTGCGGGAATCTCACAGTCTGCCTAGTGTGGGCTGATGACGGGTCCCACAGGGACTTCATCTACCCACACAAAGATGGCGGCGCCCTGAATATAGATCGGGGCAGAAAATAAGGATTAAAAAATAGGTAATGTGGGGGGCTTAGGGGCATTTGGGGGTGACTAGTGGGTCAATTGGATGTAGTGGAGGCGGGAGGGGGGTTAAAAAAAAAAAAACCGAGATTCGGCATGACAGTGCCGCTTTAAAGACCTCGTGTGGTGTGGCACGGTATTCCTATACTGACAAGCACCCTTGCTGTCAGACAGATAATCACAGCCTTAATAGGCAGTTAACTAAAATGCAAAACTGGTGCCACAAAACAGAATTCCGACTGTGCATGCGCAGCAGCGTGATCGAAAACCCAGTGGAAAGCAAAGGCCACCTGGGCGTGCATTACACTGCTGTGCGCAGACTTCATGTCTGCCTGATCAGAGGCGCACCTCTTGGGACCACCTTCAATGCTCCTAGTACTTTCTGTGTGTCAATTGTAATAAAAAAGGAGCTGAATATACTGCAGGCTCCCCGCCGCCTGCCTCAGTTCTCCGCCCAGGGAACTATCTGGCCATTCCCCCATGTAACAGACAGTGCACTTCACCTGACATAACATTCGAAAAGGCTCCTGTCCGTACTGCACATAAAACAAGTAAGAACTGGGGCTTGTGTACCAAGGGATGTTATTTAACCCCTTAAGGACCAAACTTTTGGAATAAAAGGGAATCATGACATGTGTCCTTAAGGGGTTAAGGTATAAAGGGGGGGGGGGGAGTTATCAAATAATTTAGATTTCTTTTTATAGAGGCTACTCATCCACCTGAAGTAGATCATCCCTTCTGTAATGCCGCTATATGCCAGGAAAAAATCAATCTCAGGGGATTTAGTGACAACGATCTTTATTGTAAGCATGTATTTATTAATTTTTTTAAAGTTACTCATGTTTAGGAACCACTTTGTTAAAAAGAGGCACTACGGGGCTAGCTGGGAATATACAATCATTTTAAAGGGACACTATATAGTCACCAGAAAAACTACAGCATATTGTATTTGTTCTGGTGAGTAGAATCAGTCCCTGCAGGCTTTTTGCAGTAAACACTGTATTTTCAGAGAAATGCAGTGTTTATATTACAACCTAGTGATACCTCCACTGGCCGATCCTCAGATGGCTACTAGAGGTGATTCCTGGGAAGTACTGCACAGTGTGACTGACATTCAGTGTTTCCACCCTCTGTATGGAGACACTGAACTTTCCTCATAACGATTCAATGCATCTCTGTGAGGAGATGCTGATTGGCCAGGGCTGTGTTTGAATTTTGCTGGCTCTGACCCTGATCTCCCTCCTTGACAGTCTCAGCCATTCTTATGGGAAAGCATTGTGATTGGCTCAGAAAATCACTTCTAAAAAAAGTCAGCCAAGCAGGCAAATCATGGGCAGAGGCAGCAGCTGCAGACTTTAAATACAAGTAAGATGTTACTATATTTTGGAAGGTAAGGAGGGGGCTAGATGGTGGTTTTAACACTATAGCTTCAGGAATACATGTTTGTGTTTATGACCCTATAGTGTTCCTTTAAATTTGGGGCCTGTGTAGATTAGGTGTCCAGGAACTTTAGTAGCCCAAGGTCACACAGTTCTGATAGGAGTACAGAACTATAACCAGGGTACATAGTATTCATATTGTAATTTAATATATGGGTGAGGGGATTGGCAGGTTAAGTACGTCCCTATGCCAGGTTAAACTTTCACTTCAAGGTTCCAGTGCATACACAACCAATACAGCTCCAAATTTAAAACGGCTTCTTAAAATCACATTTGTGAAGCAAATAATGCCAATTTAGTTACCAATATGGCCATACTGTGTTTAAACTTATTTCAGTTCTTATGTAGATCTATCAATTATGACATATTATTATTATTGTCATTTATATAGCGCCAACAGATTCTGTAGTGCTTTACAATATTATGAGAGTAGGGATGTAATTATAAATAGGACAATTACAAGAAAACTTACAGGAACGATAGGTTGAAGAGGACCCTGCTCAAACGAGCTTACAGTCCATAGGATCAATAATCAATAATGTATTGCCTTTAATGCCTTGTGGGTAAAAGTTACCTTTACTCCAGCTGGTAAAGAAGCAGCAAGGATAACTAAAAATATTTAGATTTACTCATCATAAAATAAATATTACCTTTCCAATTATCCCAAATATATCTCTAACTCCTTGACTGCCTTCTTCAAAGTATTTCAGGCATTTTGAAACATTTGTTTTCTTGTTAGATGTTAGCTGCAGCCATCCTTTGAGCACCAGCCCCTGGGGAAAAAAATATTATTTTATTGGACTTCTGACTTTCATTGTTTCAATCACAAAACGCCTATATACTGCAAGAATCGGGTTGGCAGGAATTAGCTCTGGGCTACCACAAATGCTCTGGAATGCTGCATTCAAAAAAGATTTGTCACGCACATTATTTATTTCAAACAGACTCATTAGCAGTGGGGCTCTCAGAGGGAGCAGCTGGGGCAAGACCTCAGTGTCTCAGGACCTGTACCACCTTTCACTACCTTAGAGAAAGAGTTAGTTAACCCCTTAAGGACACATGACATGTGTGACATGTCATGATTCCCTTTTATTCCAGAAGTTTGGTCATTAAGGGGTAAAGGAGCAATGATGAATGATCTGAGCCACCAAAGAGAAAGGTTTTCTGCTTTCTTGCTAGACTCCGCCAGGTAAAGTTATTTTTGGGAACGAGAGTTAATCATGACATTATTAAGGCATGACTCTCTTAATGGGAGTGACATTCATGTGCATGAACTTAATTAGTTAGAAGTGATTATCTAACAAATAGTTATTATCCTAATAAAGTTAGATGTCAATAAAGGGACACTATAAGCACCAAAACAACTTTAGCTTAAAGCCCTTGCAGTCTCACTGCTCAAGTTCAATCACTTTGTTTTTGCAGCCCTAGTCACACCTCCCTGCATGTGACATACAAAGTCTTCCTACACACTTCCTGTAAAGAGAGATCTAATTTTTAAACATCCTTTATTCCACAGTCTGTTTATTTTGGATGTACTACTTCCTGCTCTGTTAATAGCCTGCAACAGCCTCCTGTGTGATTAGAGTTGTTCAATGAACAGAGCAGGTAAAAATGTCTAAAGCAAACACACTGTGCTGCCAGATCGGATTGATTATGAATCCACTTTTTCATGTAGTCTGTGTGAGTCACAACCAGGGAAGGTGTAGTCAGGTCTGCATAAACAGAAACAAAAGTTATTTAACCCCATAAATGGCAAAGAATTAGGCAGTGAGATTGTAGGGGGCATGATCTATACACCAAATCTGTTTAATTAAGCTAAAGTTGTTTTGATGCTTAGAGTATCCTTTTAAAGGGCTGCATAGGAAATTCAGCAAAAGCATAAGAACAATATATGTAGTAAAGTACTGCCCTCTGTGGTCAAACACAGTACTGCAGGTTGAAAAGGGCTGATAATCCCAATTTTTCAAATTAGAGGCACATGAAAAGCATTAGTTTGCGTGCAAACCCACCGTTAATTGCACTGTGCAGCTGGCAGATGCTATCTGTATTCTTACAATGGATATTGACACCTTGGAGTTATTGATAATGAGCAAATCTGGGAAAAAATTCTAAAAGTTGAAAATGCGCAGGAATATTTCATTGGTTTCCAGAGGGACTGGTCTGAGATGTTTTCCTCTAAACAGATCTTTAAAAAAAAAAAAAAAAAAAAACAACTCAATTCAACCTACACTATATGAACAAAAGTATTGGGACACCTGACCATTACACCATGGCAACAAGCTTGATTTGTCACTCCACTGCTGCAGTGGCATGCTTTACACCGCTCAATCCAACGCTTGGCATTGTACTTGTTTATGTGAGGCTTGCATGCAGCTGCTCGGCCACAGTTTTCCTGCTCATATTATTGCAAGTGGAAGTATGGAACTCTTCAGCTATGGAATTAGCAGAGCATTGGCAACTTGTATGCACCATGCACCTCAGCACTCAGTGACCACACGCTGTGACTTTACTCGGTTTCCCAGCTTTGTGGCTGAGTTTCTGCTGCTTCTAAACGCTTCCACTTTCCAATAATACCACTTATAGGTGACCGTGGAATATCTAGCAGCGATGAAAGTTCATGAACTGACTTATCGCAAAGTTGGCGTCCTAACACAATACCATGCTGGAATTCACAGAGGTCTTCAGAACGACCCATTTTTTTCACAAATGTTTGCAAATGCAGACTACATGGCTAAATGCTCTACTTTATAGACTTGTGGCAATGGGTCTGATTGAAACACCTGAATTCACTAATTAAGACAACGTAGTTTAGTCCATGTAGTGTACGCTGAAAATGAGCTTCAGGTAAACGGGAAGGCATATTGATGGCATATTATGCTGATCCATCCACATGTTAAACATGTTGTTCATTCAATCTGTACAAATTATAACGGGGTTATTTTGCCTATTCAGAGATAGTTTGACACCTTTGATGTTGTCGTGCACAATACTCCATGAAATGAAAGTTAGTGTATTCTTGCCGGTACCCAGTTCCAAAGTTACCATGGCAATGAACCCTTCCTTACCTCTTTGGACCTGTTGGATATTTTGAGCATCCTATCAATGTACTCTTGGGCCTTGTCACCTCTGCCTAATAGCCACAGGAACAGGCCTGCATAATACAAGGCCTTTTCCCCTGCTGTTTTCCTGCATTCCTTCATCTTATTTTCTAATTCTGAAACGGCATCATTATCTGAAAAAGAGAAAAAGAAAGTCAGAAGGTTGCAACATTCACATACAGACATGTTTCTCAAAAAGAGAATGATTCTGCCAGTATTCACCTTCTTCCGTTCCTGAATGTAATTTCTTATGACACTCAGACAGATCAAATTTAACCATCACTGGATTCTTAAATTCCCCACTATTCCTCTAAAATGAGTTAAGGAGGGTCTGTTGAACTTATTTCAATTTAATGTCACCCCTGCCACTGCGAAGGTCTATGATGAAAATTAGAAATGCACAGCGGCAGGTCTGGTCCAGGTGGTGATAGTGGAGGTATTGGCACAACCTGAAGTGCTAGAGTCACTGTAAATGAGGGTGAATTTCCATTGAATACACTTAGTAAGACAATCTCAGCCCAATCTATAGAGATGTATGTTTTTCAAACTATAATACATTAATTAATATGTCAAACCTGTCATATATGTCAAATAAATGTACACAAAGATCTGGGGGACATTGTGTGTACAAAGCTAAAAATAGATTAAATGTGATGTTTACTTAAATTGTTACAGGCTCAGCCAATACCAGACAAATTGGGAATGAAATGGTTTCTGTACCAATAAACCAATGCTGCAAGCCATATCAGTACAACCACGGACCTTGCTCCTCTGCATACAGGTTGTGGGTGGTCACCTGTTTCATAGCTGAATACCTTCCTATGAATAAATAGGTTCTAAGTAACTCAGGCATCAAATTCTAGAGGCTTGAAACACCTTTGTAAAGTGGCAGCAGTGGTGATATGTGTGATGGATCCTTTGGCTGCTGATTACACAATTGCTTTCTAAATGCCTGGTTACATCAGATACAACATGCATAGTGATAAGAGAATCTTAGAGGAAATATGCATCAGGTATTAATTGAGATGCTGTTACCAATGCTTTCATTTCTTTTGTGAGCATAGATTAGTGCCATGGTAGCACACAGAGAGGTATCTGGGATATCCTTGATATATTCCAGCTCTCGAATGGCATCCTGTACACGGTCTGCAGATAAATAAAAGCAGAAAGGATTACACATTTTCATAATGAATATATAATCTGTATGGTGCATCAAAAATAAAATGTAAACGGACGCTGACTCACAAAACTCTCCATCGCTCTGCTACCTCATAAATATCGGCCCTTATCAATAAAGGACATCTGCAGTAGGGCAATGAACTGCAGAATTTGGTTGTGAAAAATTCTCCAACTGACAACTTGATTTAATTATTTGGGAAAGGCTTTTCAAATGATCACAATCTGTTAGAAAAACTCTTCTAATAATTTATCTACAAAAATTCCCTTAGCCTTTAATGGTGATTTCTGTATATAAATCATTTGTTGCCATCACAGACTGTGATAATTTGAAAATCTTACCCAAAAGAATTAAATCGAGCCCATAGTTACATAGTAGTAATAGGATAAACCCAACACAAATCTGTCAGACCTTCACTGATCTCTGGAACGCACTACCACCGAATTTTAGTTTCACAACTTTTTAAACAACCCCTCAAAACTAATCTCATGACAAAGTTAAAGGAACACTCTAAGCAACATAATCATTATAGCATGCAGTAGTGGTTATGGTGCTAAGAGTGCCCTGGCACCCTCCCACTTCAAATAGATAAACAGTTTGACTACCTAAACCATTAAATTTACCTGACATTCACCAGAACACCACCACATCCTCCTCAGCTTTGCACTGGAGTTGTCAGGGGAGCTAATGGAAGTGCCATGCAAGAGCTTTGGTCTGAACAGGAGGTGGAAGCAGGCAGTTGTCAAACAGTTCTTAAACTGTACATTGGGGGAGTACAAGGGGCACCTATAGTTGTTATGGTACTTGAGGTGTTTAAAGGACCAATAAAGTCAAACTTCAACTCAATCAGTGGTCTGGATGCAGTGGTCCTGTACTTTTAACCCTTTAATGTAAAAAAAATGCTGTTTTGTAAACATAGGAATGTTTACTTTAAAAGGTAAAGCAAGCCTCTAGTGGCTGTCTTTCTGATAGCCACTAGAGGTGCCAACATCTCCATAAATGAGTAGCACTTGGTCTAGCACTGCTCTCCAAATCAAATGCTTCTCTATGAGATGAGATGGACAAGATCAAATGATGATGCTTGCTGTCATCACCGGAGGAAGAGCTGTAGATTGTAGGGCTGAAAGAGGTGAGTAAACTTTACTGTAATTTTACAAAGCTAAGCTGTGTGCTGGCAGCAATATAAGGGAACCTACGTTACCGAAATAGCAATTGTTATTTTCAGGCCTATAGGTTCTCTCTGAAGCAGAAAACTTAGACTACTAAAAAAATGTAATATTCTATTTATAATGCAGCTCCATTTAACTTACTTCCAGCCCAGTTACTGCTCTGCTGTGGTCTAGTGTTACAAAGCCCAGCTCTAACCTGTATCACTGTCACCCCTAACTCTAAAAAGTTTACTCATTTAAAACTGAATTATAGCGAAATGAAAACCTCACAGTAAAATGTTCTACTCCGACTACTATAATCAGCCACCATTCAGCCTAAATGTTGCAATTTGGTTTTCCATTCACAATAATTGTATTTTACTGAATAAAGCAATAAGCGTCACATGACTATCAGTAACCCCTGAAATTAAAGCTAAACACCCTGGCAACAATAATTAAAACATTGAGTGCAGCACCATTACAGAGTCACTCAAGCAAAACTATTTTAATGGTGACCTTCGGAATGCATGGATATCTTATAAAATCAATCGCTAAATTATATAATATTGCCTTGTGCGTGCATTGGTTTTCAATTACCTTCCATAAGGATGCCAAAAGTCTTGAAAAACTGAAGTACTGGATCATTACTATACTTCTTGAGTCCTTCTTTTGCTAGGTTTTGGACATGCCGATAATATTTATCATAGGCGTATAAAATTATTCCCGCCTAAGGAACATAAAAAGTGAAAGTTACCTGTCGTCTTACATAACTAGCATAATAACTATAAATGGTTATGATTTCATAAATCAACAGCTAGCAGTACAAAGCACTGAGTTTTCAATATTTAACAAGCTGATTTTGTAAAAAGATATTATAACAACTCACCTGACACATTCCTAAATGAGCACAGTAGACACGATAATAACAACAAATTAAATTGGTTACGGCAGAGCTGCCATCAGATATTTTGAGGCCCTTTACACAGCTCAAGGCCTCATGCCCGGATGGCGGCCCTGGGTTATGGAGCCTGGAGTCTATGGGCTCTGGGTCACCATCAATGTTTTCATCATTTAGTAGAGATTCTTGGACTCGACAGACTGCAGCATGGTACCCAACTACGATACGGAGGAGGCAGAGATATATTTCCACCCCACTCCTATTCATGCCAGGTCTTAGGGCAGTGATTAGCTGAGAACGCTCAGCTGACACTCCCAGCCTATCAGTTCTTGCTGGTATGGCGTGAACCAAAACTTAGCTCCGCCTCTAAAATTTCATAATTGGAAGGCAAGTTATGGGTGAGCAAGACTCTGTTAAATGGAGAATATATCATTTAGCAGTGATGCAGGACCCGGCGTCAATGAAATCCAGGCATCGTAGCCACTTCAATCTGTTGAACTGGTTAAGCTGCCTACAGTGTTACTGTAAGTAAAAACAGACATTGCTGCGATCATTCGGCGAAAAGTCACCTTTGTACATTTATGTACACTCAAAAGGTTTATTTAAAAAACACCCGACTGTCGCAAACTAAAATCCAAATTACAAAATTTAGGCTAATACGGCCAAATTATGGCTATAGCCGAGGTTCACAATTTCGCTATTATAGACTAATTTTATAATTCAGCTCAAATAACTCAAAGTTTAATGAATACGGCCCACAAGGATATACTCTGAAAAAATTGGGAATTATAGAGATGTGAGAAGGGAGTTGCAATAGTTTTGCTTAGGCCAAATTTGACCAATGGGAAGGTTTTTAGCTTGTATATTTTGGCCTGAAACAAACCAATAGGAAATCTCCAATGCACGAGCTGAGGCCTCTGACTGCTACTCCCCAAAATCCTAAATTCTCATTTGTTTACCCATAGCTATCAACGCAAACAGTAAAATTCTTGAACAAAACAGATATATTTATTTTTGAGACAAAACATACACAATTTAAAGGCACGCGATATCTATCATGTTTTAATAAAATATTCCATAATGGTGTTATTCTCCAAACTGAACCTAAAACATTGTTAGTCAGTATAGTGTGAAATGTTAACAATAAAAGGAAAAAAACTAGAATAGATCTATTAGCCTAGCCCAGTCTGCTCACCATAATGTGGGGTTCGGTGTCTGCCATTGTGAAGTGTTATCTCTGGGGATGGGGGTTCCTGAAAGAAAAAGATTGTGAAATACTGTAACTAAATGTTACATCTGTAAATGGCAAACTTATTATCATCTAATTATCTACATAAAAAAACACCAGAAATAATTCCTTATGTCTCTGTTACCAATAATTTAACATTCAATTCTGAATCATAACAACCAACACTAGTGAATAATCTAATAGAATCAACAAAGAAATCATCCCTGACACATTGATTTATCCCAAACTGTCTCTTTATCTTAATATCCCAGGCTGTCTCACTCTGTGTCCCAGGCTGTCTCTTCCTGTATCCCAGGCTGTCTCACCCTGTGCCCCAGGCTGTCTCACCCTGTGCCCCAGGCTGTCTCACTCTGTGTCTCAGGCTGTCTCACCCTGTGCCCCAGGCTGTCTCACCCTGTGCCCCAGGCTGTCTCACCCTGTGCCCCAGGCTGTCTCACCCTGTGCCTCAGGCTGTCTCACCCTGTGCCTCAGGCTGTCTCACCCTGTGTCCCAGGCTGTCTCACCCTGTGCCCCAGGCTGTCTCACCCTGTGCCCCAGGCTGTCTCACCCTGTGCCCCAGGCTGTCTCACCCTGTGCCCCAGGCTGTCTCACCCTGTGCCCCAGGCTGTCTCACCCTGTGTCCCAGGCTGTCTCACCCTGTGCCCCAGGCTGTCTCACCCTGTGCCCCAGGCTGTCTCACCCTGTGTCCCAGGCTGTCTCACTCTGTGCCCCAGGCTGGCTCACTCTGTGTCTCAGGCTGTCTCACTCTGTCTCCCAGGCTGTCTCACTCTGTGCCCCAGGCTGTCTCACTCTGTGTCTCAGGCTGTCTCACTCTGTGCCCCAGGCTGTCTCACTCTGTGTCTCAGGCTGTCTCACTCTGTGTCTCAGGCTGTCTCACTCTGTATCCCAGGCTGTCTCACTCTGTGCCCCAGGCTGTCTCACTCTGTGTCTCAGGCTGTCTCACTCTGTGCCCCAGGCTGTCTCACTCTGTGTCTCAGGCTGTCTCACTCTGTCTCCCAGGCTGTCTCACTCTGTGCCCCAGGCTGTCTCTTCCTGTATCTCAGGCTGTCTCACTCTCCCGGACTGTCTCTCGCTTTGCGTCCCTGGTAACCGCTGCTCTCATGTTGGTTGCTACTGACGCATTTACCTGCCGATCGCTCGGCGATGGATTACACAGGCAGGGCATTGGATGAGCCGCGCGGCCGATCGCTGGGCAATGGATTACACAGGCAGGGCATTGGACGCGCGGCCCTGAATGCCGATCGCTCGGCGGTGGATTACACAGGCAGGGCATTGGACGCGCGGCCCTGAATGCCGATCGCTCGGCGGTGGATTACACAGGCAGAGCATTGGAAGCGCGGCCCTGAATGCCGATCGCTCGGCGGTGGATTGAGCAGTCCTGGCCGCCTGGTACAGTGTGAGCAGAGCTGCTGTCATTCTCTCCCGGACATGGGACTTTCCCTGAGCTCCGACACCCCCGATGGCAGCACCGAGGGCTACCACGTACACGGGGTGAGAGGGGTTAATATACCATAATATACCGCGTACACGGGGCGAGAGGGGGTAATATACCATAATATACCGCGTACACGGGGCGAGAGGGGTTAATATACCATAATATACCGCGTACACGGGGCGAGAGGGGGTAATATACCATAATATACCGCGTACACGGGGTGAGAGGGGTTAATATACCGCGTACACGGGGTGAGAGGGGTTAATATACCATAATATACCGCGTACACGGGGCGAGAGGGGTTAATATACCATAATATACCGCGTACACGGGGCGAGAGGGGTTAATATACCATAATATACCGCGTACACGGGGCGAGAGGGGTTAATATACCATAATATACCGCGTACACGGGGCGAGAGGGGTTAATATACCATAATATACCGCGTACACGGGGCGAGAGGGGTTAATATACCATAATATACCGCGTACACGGGGCGAGAGGGGTTAATATACCATAATATACCGCGTACACGGGGCGAGAGGGGTTAATATACCATAATATACCGCGTACACGGGGCGAGAGGGGTTAATATACCATAATATACCGCGTACACGGGGCGAGAGGGGTTAATATACCATAATATACCGCGTACACGGGGCGAGAGGGGTTAATATACCATAATATACCGCGTACACGGGGCGAGAGG